CTCTGAATGTTCTGCTTAAGACGGGCATTTTGGTCTGCTAGCGCATGGGTTGACTGGGCTTGACGCTTGCGAAAAGCTGCTTGGGAGCGTCGGCCTCGCTCGCGACGACGCTGTAACATGTTAGCGCGAGGACCCAGTCGCTTTTGACAAGGATAGCCTAGCTATTTCTCACAGAAGGCAACTTACAGTCAGTTCATCTTGAGGCTCTACGGCACCCATGCTCTCTTCTTCGAATTCTCTGAGAATTATTGATTGGTCTAGGAAAATAATGTTTGTCCAAATCACAGACCAGATATTGGATTTGTCAGATTCAGCGGAGTAAGTAAGCCGAGATGCCTTGACCTGATTGGGTGGGCAATGGCACTGATTACCCCGATCACGTAACCGTCGGGGACAGCTCAGGCCGACTCAGTATCACCAAAAGGTTGAAGGATTGAGGTTACGTGTTCGGGATAAAATGTCTGCCCGGGGCCAGAAATTGACTAATGAAGAGATTCCCCTGTCAAGGCGAAGGTTTACCTATAAAGATGAGAAACTTTTCACTTTACAGGAATACATGAGAATCACAGAGTTCACAAATATCACTCAATCATCCTTAGAAGTCAATCAGCATGGTTAGAATCGCTATCGCAGGAGCTTCAAGCGGTATGTTTATCCCTTCCATTTCACTCTGCCAATTACTGAACTTCTCCAGAGCTCGCTAGAGAAATCATCGACAGGCTTGTCGCTACTGGGAAGCACGAAATTATTGCACTCGTCCGCAAGGTATGTCGAATCATGACCTGCCGGTAACCCTAGCAACTGACAAGCCTAGGAACCATCTGCATTTTCTGAGCTCCCAGGTGTCACCTGGATTCAAACTGATTACAAAAACAAGGCGGAACTCGTTGAGTTGTTTCGCGGCGTTGAAACCGTTCTTTCTTTCCTTGCTGTTCACTTGGATCCCAGTAATGAGACCCAAAAGCGACTTATTGACGCAGCTGTTGAGGCTGGCGTGAAGAGGTTCGCCCCATCTGAGTGGGCAACGTGAGTTTTCCATTAAGCAGTGACAAGCATCATTTCAACTGACTATGCTTCAGAGGAGCCAAACTGGCAGACTCGCTCGATGTTATGTCATGGTACAGCGGAAAGATTGAGATCAGAGAGTATCTCAAGAGCCTGAACTTTGATAGAAAGGTAGCATAGCCCAAATACTCTCTTCATTACAGTAACTAACTTGGTCAATTAGGTTATCGAGTATACACTCTTCCAGCCCGGTGGCTTTATGGATTACCTTTGCCACCCGTACAAGACTGCAAAGTACATCACCACTACCGTCGTCAATATCGATTTCGTCAAAAGACATGCGATAGTCGTCGAAGGTACACTTGACGACGAGATCACCTATACAAGTGTCGAAGACATTGCCAACATCGTCACCCGGGCTATCGACTTTGAGGGCGAGTGGCCGGTGGTAGGAGGTATCAGCGGTGATCGAATCTCTATTCGTCAGCTTCTAAAAGTTGGAGAAGAACTGCGAGGTCAGTAAACCGGCCAAACAAAAGTAAACAAAGGTACTGACTTTACATAGGAGAACCCTTCGCTATCGAGTGGCTCAAGATGGAAGACCTCGCCGCTGGAGAACTCAAGACAGATAATTATCCCAGACTTCCACTGCCATCTGTTCCTCAGGACCAGGTGGAAGCTTTCTCAAAGATGGTGGTTATCGGTACACTGACTGCTTTCCACCGTGGAGCTTGGACTGTCTCGGATGAGTGGAATCGGAAGTTCCCTGATTATAAGTTTACGAAAGTCGATGAGCTGTTGAGGTCTGCATGGGATGGCAAGAACTAATCGGTATTGCTATTTATGTAATTCTCTGAGGATTACATCCTTCAAGAGATTTAGTATACACGTGAGCAGACCAAATATTTTAAACTAGGAATGTTTTCAACGAAAACTGTGCATTAATGTATGTCAGTGGCTACCAAGTATTCTTGAACTTTCCGTCACCTATCTTTGGTAGTGGCACCCTCCGGTATTGACAGGAGGGTCAAATTGACTGCCGATTAGTAAACTAGCACTCAGCCATGATTCATCAGCACCATTTGAGGTTTCACAAGCTGACTCACGGCGCACGATTTTACCCAAAAGGGTAAGCTTTAACCTAAGTCAGGACCCACTCAAATCTTGAAAACGGATCATCTCGCGATCAATGGTGAAACCAAGAGAAAGTGAGAAAACTATTTAGATTAACGATCTTCCCAGATCAGCTATCGTTTTATTCAGCTACCACACTAGTCTAGACATTGAAAGGCTTATCCTACTCTTCTTTCATAAATACCTCCTAATCCCTCACCAACAGACGTTTACAGTCCAGGAATATCTACAGTGCCAATAATCCCACCAGCATGTCTAACTATCCCAACTATTATCCACCACCCCCTCCGCCTGGCACTAATACGAACCAGCCCCCGACAGGCTATTCTCCATACTATCAGGCACATCCCAACGCACCTCCACCCGGTTACCAACAACCCATCTATCCACCTGCACCAGGACCTTCTGGCCTGCAAGGACCACCAAGCTACTACCCTCGTGTAGGCTTCACCAGACTATCCGCCAAGTTCCATATCTGGAATGTCATGACCAGCGGCGGCACCAGTTGTCTCCAGCTTGGCCCTCAGCTCAAAGGCACAGTAGCCTACTCTGCAAAGATGTTCTCTAGCAGCAGGCTCAAGATCAAGGAGGGTCCATATGCATCTGAGAATTTGCCTATCTGCACTATAGAGAGTCGGCATACTTTCAGCAGCAAAAGTACCGTCACCTTTGATGGCTTTCAAGCAAGCTTCGCGGAGACGAGTATGTTTAACGATGGCGCAACCTGGCCGTTTGATGTCGAGGTCAATGGTACCTCTCAGAGGTGGCAGTGGAGAAAGAAGAAGGCACAACAAACATCAACACTGAGACAGATAGTTAAAGCCTTTTCCGAGAGTGACTTTGGAAGCTGGGAGCTTGTCCCTGTTTTAGGCCAAGGCTGGCCTATCGCTACCTTTGATGCATCTGGAGGCAACACCTTTGAGGATAACGCAGCACTTGGCGTATTTGAGTTTCACGGACCGGCAGCTGTTGGGCAGTTGGGTGACATTTTTGCAAATTTATCTATCGCTATCTTGCTGCGCATTATATCTCAGCATTACATCAGTAGAATTGCGGCGTTGGCAGGCTCATAGTTAGCCAATGTCTGGTTGGATATGGAGACGACTGCTTCAGAGCATGGAATCAATCGTGACTCAATAAAAACACGCCGTTGCTATTTTCAACTTTTCTCAGCTCTTTAATAATTAGGCAGACAACGTGCAACACATAGTATCATAAGATTGTACTACCATCTACACACTCCCGATAAACTGACACGATTCAACCTCACCCACCGGGAGCAGTCGCGGGACCTTAAGATTACATCGGCATCCTAAATACTAAAAGATTTTAATGTAAGATCTTATACAATCCCAATCTAATCCATACTTGCTCTTGGGGCGGAGAATGATACTGCGAGGCTGCTGCAACTTCAACGGTCCTTTCTCCCATATAAGGAAGATTTCCTGGTCGATCCATTTTCTACTCTTATACAGAATCCGGAGATCAAACTTCCATAGCAGTCTAGCAAATACAGTGCATATATCTTAAGTTAAAGGAGTACGGTTGAGGCTAGTTAATAAGTAAAATAAATGTTTAAACTAGTTAAGACTTTAGAGATACTTGCTTGGTATATCCTTAAACGCTAACCTATAGACCTAGAGAAGAAAAGCTTATCTAGGCCTATAATTAATAGCCTTGATAAGTAAAGGGTTCCCGAGAGCCTTCTGCAGTTATGATATAGCCCGGCAAACACATGTTAAAGCTAATAGAATACTTCTCTGCATCTTGGAGGTAGAAATTGTTATACTTGCTGTTCATTGCATCCTGCAGGGAGTTACTATGACAATCTGGATGGAGAACTCTCCATGGCTCAATGCAACTCTGATCCTTAAAGCTCTTCATGGCCATGATTAGAGCATCCAGACGACTGACAATACTGAGGAGCGGCTTGTTGTTGATCTTGAAGTTGGAGTCGGCGTAAGGTGCGAGAGGCATACCGGTGCTGTTCTTACCGGAGAGATGAAGATTGGTGATTTATTATGGGTCGACCTGGAGCGTCATAGTCAGAACCCATATCTTAGTGGAAGCATTCAACGGATACCTACCATCATGTTATAAAGTTCATGCTCGTTCGTGCAATGGACCGCGTAATAAAGGTTGTAGCCTTTGCTGTGTAGACGTATCCCCTTATATGTGTTCAAATCACTTTAAAATAACGCCTAAAACAGAATTTGTAAACGCCTCTTCCTAATGAAGGTGGAAAGGTCAATCCTTCGGCTTTCACTTACTATCGATTCCCTCATCGACAGCCAGACCCCAGAACTCAATACCAGCGTGTATTAATCAGCAGCCAATTAATACTAGAGCACACCCTATAGAAGGCGCTTTACAGTCCTTAAAGGGATAGAGAGTTAGGTAGCAGATAGTTCCTGCATCCAGATACTAAGCAATGTCAGGTGTCTGTATCAATACTTTTCTTGTGGTGTTGAAAGCGAGGCAGATCTTGTTACTATACCGAGCATGAGGTAGCTCAGCACCATATGTGTAAAGGCCAACTCAAATTGTAAAGTTTTGTTCTTAGTAGAATGCTATGGAAGCTGCTGGAATCTTCGAGCTCCACGTACGCGTATGCGAGTCGTGTTTTACTCTCTACGCGTCAATGATACCGCCAGATATATATGCATGCCAGCAGGTTAGAAATAGCTTTACTGGTTTTGAGATTTCTGTATATCGAGGCTCGTAGTCGACAACCTATCACAAGAGGCACGTCACAAATAACACAACAACATTCCAGCATCGTAATGCCCTTTCATCTACTTATTCATTCTCAGTTTGCTGATCTAGATCTTGTGTACTAACGAGTGTCTAAGATTTATTCCTTATTCCCTATCCATATCGTAGTCCAAATGACTTCCCTAATTCCATCATAGTCTGAAACAATTTCATGACTTGGACCCGAGTCCACGTCCAACAATGTCTGGCGCTCCGCGCAGAGCTGAGGAACACATTTGTGTTCAAGGAAGTACAGTGTACCAGTGCACGTTGTTCTGGCCAGCTGTACGATTGTAATCCTCGCACGCCTTACAAAATTCACATTCATATCCATCAGCATCAACTGGTATAATGTCTTCGCCATCTAGACCAGGAGAGCATTGATGTTCCCCGGCGGCAAGTATGGCATTGAAGTCAGTCAATTCCTGTGGACCAAGACGATAGACATAAATGGGTCGGGCATCATCCGATCGAGTAACATAACCTCCTCTATTACTTACTACGGATGTTGGGCCGTCCTGGCCATGCGGGATTGATTCCCCGCTGCGATACATAGCATCACTACTATTGTACAAATTGCCCTGTTCCGCAGAGGATGTTAGGAGCCTACCACGGCCAGATTGGTTGATGCCATCCTCAGAGCTAACAGCATTTCTGTCCCCAAGAGCATTTGTCATCTCGATATCCATGATTAGCTGAGGAGCATCTGTCATCTCGATATCCGCGTTCTGCTCTGTCCCAAAGTTGAGTGATGAGCCTGACATCTCCATTTCCAACTTACACAGAGAATAGAACGGTAAAAGCCGACAACTGCTACGAACAGCCTTATAATACGCGAACGAATCTACCTAAAATATCATCATTAACCCCTAAAATCTGCATCGTGGCCGCTTCGCCATTTTACCTTGCTTGCGTCGTATGTATAATTAATTGACGTTACCTGAAGAAAGTAAAAAGTGAATAACCTTGGGTTGTGTTGAAGGGGAAAGGATTAATAGTCACGTAAAGGCGGTCTCAGACGCGTTCCTTCAGCGTGTTTCTATCCTGGGAGTAACTGAGCTCTTCTCAGACAAGCCTCTCAGATCCACACTGAGAGATGAAGAAGGAAAAGAATCAGATCTGCTTTTTGGGTGATTTATACTTCCTCATCTCTCTCTGTCCGCGCCTTAGCTTGGTCACATCGTTCTGGGCAGTCTTGGCTTGGTCACATCGTTCTGAGCGTCTTAGTCTGGTCATACCGTTCTGGGTGTCCAGCACCAATCACGCATGCTAGGCTGTCGCAGTCTCAACCTTATTCGTTCTTGGTTATCATCACATGGATTACCCCCACTTTTGCCAAAGAAATAAATGGTCGGGCAATGCTGAATGGGATGACTGCATATGCAGTCAGTAATTTATCCTATTAGAACAAGCTAAGCTTGCTATCTGCTGCCTGCAGCCCCATGTCTTTCATTGAGTTGATATGCTACGGCCTGGGGTAGCAGGAATGCAAAGGACCCACCTTGTGCCCAGACATTTTACCAGTCGTAAGCCTGGACGGAACCTGGACAGGAGCTTAGCGACTGGGCATCACGAACAGAGGTGAGTATCTAATTAGCCAACTTGGCTGAACAGAGTCCACATTGTATTTTTGATCGAGGCAGTACTGACGAGGTAATCAGGCTATAGGCCTGTGAGTGTAGTCATACACGAACACATTTAACTTTCGGGAGAAAGTGTCTCTAGAGCGACAGCGTCGCTTCGGTCTATTGTGCCATGTACCATCAGTGTCCTGGGGACATAGTTAACTCTTAGGACAACAAGAAATCGGTTGACACATAATATCGTGAGATTGTACTACTGTCCTGACTCCTGATAAATTGACATTAAGTTCAGCGTGGTGATATAAACTCTTAACCACAGGTCTCAACTGCAAATGACACATCTAGCTCACAATTTAGACCATATGTCACAATGCTTTTAATTTAAACTAAGTTATGTGTAGTGATATAAGCTCTTAGTCACCGGCCTCAAGTGCAAATAACGCATCCAGCTCATAACTTAGAATTATATTATGAAACCTAACTAACTACTATAATATAAATACTTTCAAGAAGGAAATATTAATTATGACTATTTGGCCTGCCCGGAGGGTATATAAGATGCTGCAATTCCTCGACCAAGACTAATATGCTAGGGTTATAATACCAGGTTTTCTGGTAGTACAGAACTTTGCTACTCTGTAAGTCTTTGGAAGAATGTTAAATTCACCTTATCGATTGTTAGATATTCCCAATCGAAGGGCGACTTGCATCGCTTGACTCAGTCCCCTATCATGGATGAGTTAACCTATCAGTCAAGGCTCATCCCCCGAGAGGAGGCGCAGCGAACAGGCTGCTTCACATCCTTACCCATCCGCATCCATCCCCGCAATGACATTGCCGACGCTGCAACAGCCAAGTTCATTGCAGAATGGGCCAAGCATTTCCATGATGGCAGAGAGAAGAGAGCTCGCTTCTGCCCTTCCCCTGTGGGTAATTGGAATTCGTTGCTCTATCCCGAGGCCATGCCTGAAAGGCTCGGCGCTGTTTCTTATCTATTGGACCTTGGCCTTATTCACAACGGTGAGTTCACTGGAAGGGGTCATGCACACAACTTGGCTAACTGGTCTGGTTACAGATTTGAATGAGGAGCTCAGCGTCCAAGATTCCAAGACAGCGCATGAACATATGAAACCTGCTTTGGACCCGCAGGACATCCGCAAGTGGGACCCAAACTCGCCTCAGATGAAATTCAAGATGCTCTTATCCGAGTGTGTTGTTGAGTGTATCAAAATAGATCGTGAGCTTGGCATATCCATGCTCAAGGCCTTTCGCGTTCTGTGGCTGGACGTTGCTGAGAACGCCAGCAGCGAAGAGCCTCAGACACTGGACGACTACTGGCGTGTACGAAGGTCAAATGGTGGCTTGAGGTAAGCAACCCCTGGGTCTCTCTTTCAATAATGCAGGTAACCTGTGTTCCACGCCAGCGTTTTCTGGCCCATAGTTCTCTTCGTCACAAACCTCCACCTCTCGGAGGATCAACATGCTCTGGTCCAGCCCATTATCGTCGCGGCGGAGGAGACTCAGTGTTGGGCGAATGACTACTTCAGTTACGAACGCGAAGCTTGGGAATTTGAGACCGGAAAGGCGAAGTGCATCGTCAATCTTGTGGGGATGTTGTCTCGGACCAAGGGACTGTCGAGTACAGATGCCAAGGCAGAAGTCAAAGGGATGATCTTGGAGGCAGAGGCCAAATATTGCCGGCTCCGCGACGATCTTGTCAGTTCACATCCAGACATGACCCTGGATCTGAAGCGCTGAATTGAGTACATCGGCCTGTCGATCTCCGGCAACCATTATTGGCTCTCGGGTTGTTCAGGGCAAAATACGGGGAAAACCAATGGCATCCGCAATGACACAAAAAGCGAGGGGAGCGAGCTCATCGCGGCCCTGAACTTATGGTTCAAAGTGCCTCCGGGGGCGCTGGGACACATTAATTCAGCCATCGACATGTTACACAACGCGTCGCTTATCCTGGACGACATCCAGGACAACTTGCCGCTGCGGCGTGGGGTTCCCGCCGCCCACGTCGTCTTTGGAGCAGCGCAGTCCATCAACAGCGCGACCTTCATGTTTGTCAATGCAACGGCGGTAGTCATCTCGAAGCTCTGCCCGGCGGCGCTGAAAGCGCTGCTGGAGGGTCTCGAGACACTCTTCTTGGGCCAGAGCTGGGACCTGTACTGGAAGCACAACCTGCAATGCCCGAGCGAGGCTGAGTACGTGAGGATGGTGGACCACAAGACGGGCGGCATGTTTATCATGCTGGTGCGGCTGATAATGGCCGAGAGCCCGTATTGCGGAAGTGAGGTCGTCGAGGACCTGGAGACGCTGATGCGGCTGCTGGGACGTTTCTACCAGATTCGCGATGACTATCTGAACTTCAGTGCCTACGCGTCCCAAAAGGGCTTCGCCGAGGACCTGGACGAGGGCAAGTTCTCGTTCCCCATCGTATGCGGCATTGAGAAGCATCCTGAGTCGCGTGGCCAAATCCTCGCCGTCTTTAGACAGCGCCCGGCCAGCGCGGCCGCTGAGGCTAAGTCGCTGTCCAGAAAGGTCAAGGAATATATGATCAAGTGCATTGTGTCGTCTGGCGGCTTCGACGAGACTCTGAAGTGCTTGACGAGCATGGAGCACGAGATCGAGCTAGGGATGGTCAAGATTGAAGAGAGATCGGGCCAAGCTAATTCCCTCTGAGACTCTGCCTCGCTGCGCTAAGCATGGAAGGACAAGAGAAGATTTGCTTTTTAAATTAAGTTCTTAAATTATAATTCCAAGTTTAATAGTATGAAACCCACAAGTCAAATCTGGATGGCGCCCTCGCTCACAACAATCTCGTCTTGAAGCATGCTCCGAAGTCGATAAGATTCGACCAGACTCTCTACTTCTCGATACCGTCCTTTTAATCGGGACTGGAGTATCTTTTGCAGATTGGAAACTGGGTGAGCCTTTGCAACAAACTTATCAGAGAGCGCATACGGTTCAGACTTGAGTAACGTCTGGAGAACGGTATGAGCCCTGTGCATTACCGCGTCCAGCATCATCGTGATAGTGCAGATTTTAACCGTCAGGGAGCTATCAGCTCACGTGGTTTTTAAAGCTGCCGATGGGACGTACGAGCGATATATCGAGGTGAATGCTCCTCAATGGGGAGAAAAATGGGAGCCGATATCAGGCTTCCGAGCTTAAAAAGGGCCGAGTGCCCGACGGTTTCTTGTATATTAGCCGTGACCCTTTGCATTTCCCAAGTCCAAGCGCACCAATATTTAACTTCTCCTACTCTCCATAAGCTTTCTAACCCTGATAGACATAACCAACAGAATCAACGCCTGCTGATCGTGACCTCATTCTTCAAAGTATTATGCTTTTATTAAAAGCTTTGCTATTAGGCTATTTATAGTGTTGCATCAGTCCGTATTTTGCCTGAAACTGCACTCTTTACTCCCCGCATCCCCGTGGCTCCCCGCACTCAGTGATAATATCCGATAGGCTTCAACTGTGGTTAGACAATTGCCGATCGTTCCATATGCTGTTCTGAGAACACTGCGTCATTGAGTTTTTATTTGCTCGGCTATGGTGAGCTGCGAATGAGCATATGCATGACTCCGCTGTAACCGGATGGAAAGATCATTAATTGATCAAGCCGAGTGAGTAATAAAGTATAAAAGCACACAGAGAGTACAAGAGCTTTTGGCCAAGACAAGGTTGTTCTTCAGGCCGAGTGACACGATGTTGCTCAATCTTCAGGTCGCTGCCAGCGCTTTATCGCTTTCTCTTTTGAATGGGCTGGCTACAGCTGCTACGCCTTATATCCTGCCTGACTGTACCAAAGGACCTCTGAGCAAGAATGGAATTTGCGATACATCGTTATCTCCTGCTAAAAGAGCTGCTGCTCTGGTTGCTGCTTTGACGCCCGAAGAGAAGGTGGGCAATCTGGTCAGGTAAGATACTCGCCCATAATCGCTATTTGGGGATCGGAGTTGACTTAGAGTAGTAATTCAACTGGTGCACCAAGAATCGGACTTCCAAGGTACAACTGGTGGAACGAAGCCCTCCATGGCCTCGCTGGATCTCCAGGTGGTCGCTTTGCTGATACCCCTCCCTACAACGCCGCCACATCGTTTCCCATGCCTCTTCTCATGGCAGCTGCTTTCGATGATGATCTGATCCGTGACATCGGCAATGTCGTCGGCACCGAAGCGCGTGCGTTTACCAACGGTGGCTGGCGCGGAGTTGACTTCTGGACTCCCAATGTCAACCCCTTCAAAGATCCACGATGGGGTCGTGGCTCCGAAACTCCCGGTGAAGATGCTCTTCATGTCAGCCGCTATGCTCGATACATCGTCAGAGGTCTCGAAGGCGACAAAGAACAGCGACGTATTGTTGCGACTTGCAAGCATTACGCTGGAAACGACTTCGAAGACTGGGGGGGTTTCACGCGTCACGACTTTGATGCGAAGATTACTCCGCAAGACTTGGCTGAGTACTACGTCAGACCTTTCCAAGAGTGTACTCGCGATGCCAAGGTTGGCTCCATCATGTGCGCTTACAACGCTGTCAATGGCATCCCTGCGTGCGCAAACTCGTATCTTCAGGAGACTATCCTCAGAGGGCACTGGAACTGGACACGCGATAACAACTGGATCACTAGTGATTGTGGAGCTATGCAGGATATTTGGCAGAATCACAAATATGTCAAGACCAACGCTGAAGGTGCTCAGGTGGCTTTTGAGAACGGCATGGACTCAAGTTGCGAGTACACTACTACCAGCGACGTCTCCGATTCCTATAAGCAAGGTCTCTTGACCGAGAAGCTCATGGATCGTTCGTTGAAACGTCTTTTCGAGGGCCTTGTTCATACTGGTTTCTTCGATGGTGCCAAAGCACAATGGAACTCGCTCAGCTTTGCCGATGTCAACACCAAGGAGGCTCAGGACCTCGCACTCAGATCTGCTGTAGAGGGTGCAGTTCTTTTAAAGAACGATGGTACGCTACCCCTTAAGCTCAAGAAAAAGGATAGCGTTGCTTTGATTGGATTCTGGTCCAACGATACATCCAAGCTCCAGGGCGGATATAGTGGACGTGCTCCATTCCTCCATAGCCCGCTGTACGCAGCTGAGAAGCTTGGTCTTGACACCAACGTGGCCTGGGGCCCAACACTGCAGAACAGCTCCTCCCATGATAACTGGACTACCAATGCTGTTGCTGCTGCCAAGAAATCCGATTACATCCTGTACTTTGGTGGTCTCGACGCTTCAGCCGCAGGCGAGGACAGAGACCGCGAAAATCTTGACTGGCCCGAGAGCCAGTTGACTCTTCTGCAGAAGCTCTCTAGTCTCGGCAAGCCATTGGTTGTGATTCAGCTAGGTGATCAAGTCGACGACACTGCTCTTTTGAAGAACAAGAAGATCAACAGTATTCTTTGGGTCAACTACCCTGGTCAAGATGGCGGTACTGCGGTCATGGACTTACTCACCGGACGAAAGAGTCCAGCGGGTCGACTACCCGTCACGCAGTATCCCAGTAAATACACTGAGCAAATTGGCATGACCGACATGGACCTGAGACCTACCAAGTCATTGCCAGGAAGGACTTATCGCTGGTACTCTACTGCAGTTCTGCCCTATGGCTTTGGACTCCATTACACTACCTTCAAAGCCAAGTTCAAGTCCAACAAGTTGAACTTTGACATCCAGAAGCTTCTCAAGGGCTGCAGTGCTCAATACTCTGATACTTGTGCTCTGCCCCCCATTCAAGTCAGCGTCAAGAACACTGGCAGTATCACCTCTGACTTTGTATCTCTCGTCTTTATCAAGAGTGAAGTTGGGCCGAAGCCATATCCGCTCAAGACACTTGCGGCTTATGGTCGCTTGCATGATGTCGCGCCATCTTCGACGAAGGATATCTCACTTGAGTGGACGTTGGATAACATTGCGCGAAGGGGAGAGAATGGTGATTTGGTTGTTTATCCGGGGACTTACACCCTGTTGCTGGATGAGCCTACGCAAGCGAAGATCGAAGTCACGTTGACTGGAAAGAAGGCTACTTTGGACAAGTGGCCTCAAGACCCCAAGTCAGCCTGATTTCAGCTAGGGTAGTAAGAATTGACAGAACTATATGGTCTTATAAATATTATGTCTATAGTTTGAATCCAAGGCTTCATCTTTCATGTCCACAGCAACAAATTCCGCTCCTTATCCATTGTGTTGATAAATGTGTACTATAAATGGTTGTCAGTAAGATCGGACGTAAGCCACAGCTAAATAGATATGAGACGTACCTCCATGAATCTGGGCATGCCATATACCCTGTCGCCAATCCAGTTGTCCTCATTGCTCACTGGCCTCAAGCCCATCGCCTCTAGAGAATACCACCACTTCAACCAGGATCTAAGGTCGTTTGGAACCGTGACGCCTTCTGGTGCTTTCTTCAGATGCATCTCGACCAACAACTGACCAAAAGGCAAAGTCGCATTTCCATTTTTCCTCTGCTCTTTGACAGATTCAATCAGCGACGTGAGAGCGTCAAACTCGGCTCCCTCTATGTCCATCTTGATAAGATCAACATAAGAATGCCCATTTATCTTCATAAGATCCTGTATCGAAAACACAGGCGGTCTAGCCTTGCTCTCTGATACCTTTCCAATCATCGCTTTTTGAAACTTGGCACGCGACCATATAAACTCGGGAACTTGCTGCGCCCACTTATCAACGGTGCCGTCGTATCCCCATATACGAGCATTCGTGCGCTGGAGTAGTTCTGCCTCGAAAGAGGAGTCGTCACTCACGCCGAATGAGTAGACGATGAGTTCCCGTGCCTTGTTTGAGTCTGACGATGGGCCAGGGCATTCCTTCTCATAGCGCGACATACCGCAGATTATCTTGCCGCCATCGCTGATTGACCCAACGCGCTCAAGATCGTGAGGACAGAAGAAGCTTGGGCGAGCAAAGTCCCATACGTTGAACGGGTTCATGTATCCGTCGGGAAACTTTGCATCATAGCCGACTACTTGGGCCATTTCTTCGCGAGCTTTGATAGAGCGTTTCCATAGCTTTTCGGCATGAGCGAGTCTTGAGTTTAGATAGGGATCGTTACTAAAGACGTCTGCATGATTTTGTAAAGATAGTGATGTTGAGAAGTGAGGGGATGATCTCGTGAATAGTATAGTACAGAGCAGCAATGTCGCGAAGATAAAGGTGATTGTGACCATTCTGTGAGACATGGCTGTGATGAAGTGGGTCTTGGGAAACTGAATGGATTTTCAGCATGAATCCTAAAAATCGATGTAGGGTAGCGAGAAATGTAAAAAACAGAACTCACATCAGGAATACTCAACGCAGCTGATATTGGCCACGAGTTTCCTCATAGTGAATTGAGGTAATTATCCCCTTTCCACTGCTGTTTTGGGTTTCACCTGAAGTGGCACGATCCGTTCGCAGAGCAGACGCGGACTCTCAGATTAATAGGGCTAGTCCTACACGTACAGCTCGGATCAACTTGCCGAGACGGGATAAACGGCAATGTGGATCGCTCCAGGTTAAGGTGTTTTCTCTTGATGAACCAATTTACCTGTCAACATCATAAGTTCGGCATGCTTGGTGTCTTGTCAGTTAGATAGATCTCTTCAGGCTATTATCCCCATAGTGCTTTATTTACATCTTGATACCAATCAGCTGTCTTCTTTTTTCGCTCACCAAAGACTCCTACGTCAGCACTAAGATAAACGTCGATCCTTCTGACCCACAGTCTCGACTTTTCTGCCGGATTCCCGGGAGCCACTTCGGTGTTTTACGACAGAGACCAATGGGGGCTAGGCTTTGACATCAGGGGTACTGCATGAAACGTCAACGCCTCTGCACGGCCCCCGTCTCGTATTCCCACGATGGCATCGTCCAATTTTCTTAGCCTTTTCTTCCAAGCCTTTCCCTGTAATACACGACTTTTTGGGTATTGAAGTCCTTGTTTCATAATACATCCCGACATGTCGGCAAGTTATGGATCACTACACCATCACTCTCATCATTGTCACAATACCTCTCATTTTTGCTCCCTATTGGCATCACAGACATGTGACATCAAAGCTGGTTCGAGGCTCGGCGGACGAGGCCAATCGACTTGATATGATCGACGATGAGATCCACGATATTGATCATGAGTCCACTGGTGACAGATATTATAACTTCCGCAACCAGTTTCTGTGGGTTTATGGTCTGGCGATGGCTGCAGAATGGCTTCAGGTGCGTTTTTGAATGACAAGGACAACACCAAATAGAATGATACCTAACTTCTAATGGTCGAGTGTAGGCATCTTATTTATACAGCTGTCTGAAGAATACCCATAAACTATCAGAGCCTGTCATCGCGACTCTCTTTGCTACCGGCTTTGTCTCCGCTGGAATAGGCGCTATCTTCGTGGAGTCGCTGGCGGATAAGTATGGCAAAAGGTTCATGTGCCAATGCTACTGTGTGGTTTACTCAGTTTCCTGTGTCGCCATGCTCAGCGGGAATATACTGCTGTTGCTTGCGGGAAGAGTTTTGGCCGGACTTTGCACTACCTTGCTGTCCTCGGTGTTTGAGAGTTGGATGACCGCTGAGTATAAACGACAAGGATTTGGTGACCGTGGGACTGCTTTGAGCACGATATATAGCATGATGGCTGTGACAAATGGCTTTGTCGCTGTTGGAAGTGGCATCGTAGCTCAAGCGGCCGTGAATGCCTTGGGCTCACATACTGCCCCCTTCTTACTGAGTGTCGTCTGTCTAAGCTTGGCACTGATGGTTATCACTCGATCTTGGGTAGAGTCTGCCTTTATGTGCAGTGCAATTTGTATCAGTTGCTAACGCAACTCCAGGCCGAGAATTGTGGCACACCAGGCAGGTCCCTGATGGCCGAAACCTCAGGGAAAGCCAGCGCTATCTCTCTTTTGAGTATGTAGCTACGACCTCCCGCCGTCGAATACAGCTGACAATATGAGTAGAAGACCCGAGTCTGCTTATTCTCACACTGACCATGTGCTTCTTCGAGGGCTCTATTTGCGTTATGCTTTACTCTTGGCCCCAGGCAATCATGTCAGCGCGAGCCCATGAAAGGATATGGGCAAACCCTCCTTTCGGTACCATATTTGCGAGTCTCATGGGTGCAAAGTCTCTGGGCTCTTTCACGTTCCTCTATGCCTCGCGCGAGGCAAACTCGATACAACTTTCATCGCGCACAATTCAACTTGCGTCATCCATCTCGGCCTCGGCTCTTCTGTTGACAATCTTACTCCGAGACGAGTTGAGTCGTTTCTGGGCGTTTTGCCTCTTCGAGATATGTGTCGGACTGTACTATCCGAGTATGGCCTACTTGAGAGACCGGCTTCTTGAGGAGGAGCGACGAGGCCGAGTGTACGGATTGATGAGGGTTCCACTCAATGTCTTCACCGTGATGTGTCTGACTACTGTTAATGAAGGTATGTTGCTTCCATCCCAACCTTTGAGTTGCAGGTATAGTTGCTCACAATAGAATCTAGGAGATGAAAGCCGTGAGAACAGGTTCATCGTATGCAGCAGCCTTCTTTTGCTTGGGGTTTTGTTAATGTCTCGGTATGCTCCTAAGCAAAGCAGATCTTATTAAATAGGCAGCTATTATGCATGATACCTTCACCTAGAGCGAGCGTGTCGATACCATGAATACGATCTAAGACCCATTAAATATTATTCTAGAATCTCTAAATCTATGAGTATCTAACTAGACTTCCTCAACAGTCATACTCTTCTTTTCATCCTGCATCATAGCTGATACTAGCCCAGTGATCTCAGAAGCAAATGCTTCAGCCATCCCATGATCAAAGACCCTCTCATCGTACATGACTTTCAATATCGAAGTATCACCAAAGGACTTCGATACCTCCACTACAAGCGCATACGGCTGATACATTCGCACCTTTGACTTGGCCATAACAAGCCATCGATTCCGGGTTGTTTCATCATCCAAGGGAACCGGATCGAATGGCTGCGACAGAAACAAGACCTTGTTCCCATGAGCCGCGCGTGAAACATCCAGTGTCTGGTAGATATCGTCAAGTCCGACAAGACCATTCTCCGTGACAGCCCAAAAGTCCTCTTGTAATCTCGTAAGAAGATCTGAGACCTTTTCAGTGGAGCTCGTTCCGGTCCAGATCGGCAAGAAGTTGGCTAGAGTTCCGTTGATGGACTGAGGATCAGGGAGTGCGACGTTTCGTCCGCTGAGGAGATAATCGTATCGAACATGATCGCTCTTGGTCGCCCTAGCCAACCAAAGCGTGAAAGCAGCCTGGAAGATGATACTCGGGGTGACGCCATAGTTCCTTGCCACTTGATCGATGCCGCGTGTATCCACCTTCATCTTGAAACTGGCGGTGACCTGAGGTTCACTCAACCCACTGAGATCCCTACCACGAAGAATCTGAGAGGACTGCCCTGCTTGGGAGAACTTGTCCTTCCAGTACTCAAGTGCCCTTGAGTTGTCTTGCTCAAAGACATGCTGAGCAAAATCACGGAACTCGACGCGGGGAGGCACAGGCTTGCCTTGTAGAATGTTCTCGAAGTGTTGATCAAAGACACGTAGAAGCGTTCCGTCGTATACAGCGTGGTCCATCTTGATGACTAGGTCCCAGGAAGAATCTCCGTGGGTGATGATGGCGTACTTGATGAAGGGGCGGCCGAACTCAAAGCGTGTTCGCCAGAAGTCCTCGAGAAAGTTGGATATCTCATCCTCAGAGTCCAGGGCGACAGCTGTGATGTTGAGCTGCGCATCGCGAAGAACAACTCCTACCCAGTTCCCGGGAGAAGCCTCTAGCCAGGTTGTGCGCAAGATGTCGTTGGCTTGGGTCAGTTGGGTGGTGGCTTTGATCCAGGCATCTGGCTCGATAACACCAGTCATGCGTCGCACGGTCTGAAGCACCCACATCTGGGAGTCTCGACCGCCTTGCTTCAAGAACTCTGCTTGGCCGGGTGGACAAGGGTATGCTGTAGAGTCAAATGTCAGTATTTTATGGTCTATGCATTAAATATTCATAGAAGGCAACTTACCATACTCAACGTGATCATTCCACGCAAGCCCAGTGCTTTCAATGGCCTCCTTGACATTCTCGGGAACATTGAAGACCATCTTCCTGCCTCCTGCTTCTGTCTCCAGTCTTCGCATCGCAGAAGCCATGTCCTTGAGTTTGGGAGATTGGAGAATGTCGAGTACTGTGAGATGATAGCCGATTTTGCGCAGATGGCCGGTGAGACTGATTGCCGAGATAGAATCACCTCCTAAGGCCAAGAAGTTTGCCTCACGTCCGATTTGATCGGTCGGTAAGCCAAAGATGTCCGCCCAGACTGACTCCAAAGCAATCTCAGATAGGGTCTCTACAGGCACGATGGTGTGACCCTGGCTGGGAGACTCAAGCACGCATTGCGATAACAAATCCCGGTCGAGGTCATCCAGCATCTTCTTCAATGCCTTGCGGTCAACCTTTCGTGAAGGCAGCTTCGGGAAATCGGCCATGGGAATGACAAACTTGGGGATCATATAAGTCGCCAACGATCCAATTTTCTCGTGCAGATTCGTAAAGGTGTCTCTCAACTTGGAAGGGTCGATGATGCCAGTGCTATCCGTTCCAGCAGCAACATCGTCGTTGAAGGTACAGAACGCAACCAGGTGGACCTTATCATGAACTTTGGCAGCAACAGCAATGGCGTCCTTGACAAGACCCGAGTTCCGAATGGCATTCTCAACCTCTCCAAGTTCAATGCGGTGACCATGAATCTTGACCTGGTTGTCCTTACGACCAAGACACTCGATCTCGCCATCAGGTAACCATCGTGCCAAATCACCAGTTCTGTACATCCGAACTCCAAGCTGGGGGCTATCGACGTACGCAGCAGTCGTCAGCTCAGGACGGTTAATATAGCCATCTGTCACCTGAGGACCAGCTATGCACAACTCTCCGACGGCTCCGTAAGGCTGCAGCGTCTCGCCGTTTGGATCAAGGATAAATGCCATGACAGTATCAAATGGAGCACCAATGTTACCAACAACATGGCTGTCTGAGAACGACTCGATACGCTTTGTGGTTACCACCATGGATGTCTCAGTTGGTCCGTAGACGTTCAAGATGCTGCAATGTGGCGCCCAAGTCTTGATGACGTCCGAGGTCAGCGGCTCACCTCCAACGATCAGTGTCTCAAATCGTGGGACATCTGCTGGGTTGAGTAACTTGGCAACTGTTGGTGTGATGATAGCCTGACGGACATCCATTCGGTTGATACAGCCTGTGATATCGGAGAGCAAGACGTCTGTCGGGGCCATACATAATGTGCCGCCACTGCTAAGTGTGTTGAAGAAATCTTGAACCGATGCGTCGAAGACGTAGTTGGCGAATTGCAAAGTCCTCCACCTGCCTTGGTTGCGACCTTCGACTTGTATCATGCTTGTGACGGCAGCGGCAGCGGTTCTGTGCGGAACCTTGACGCCCTTGGGGAGTCCTGTGCTTCCAGAGGTGTAAATGAGATATGCGAGGTTGTCTGGAGTATGATGGACAGCAGGAGTGGAATCTGCATCTTCGCCTCTGGAGTTCGTCGAGCTGAGATCTTGATAGCCTTTCATCACCAGCGTACTCACCCCAAGTGATTCCTTGACGTGGTCACCAAATTCGACATACCCAGGATGAACAACAACGAGTTTCGCCGACGTGTCAGACACGATGTAGGAGTTTCTGTCCGTAGGATTGTCGGGACTCAGAGGAACATACGCTGCACCAGCTATCATTGTACCAAGAATGACGACCATCATATCAACGGACTTGTCAAGCATAATGGGCACAAGATCCCCTGGTTGTACGCCAGCGTCGATGAGTGTATGTGCAAAGCGATTCGCGAGTTTGTCGAGGACTCCGTAAGTGATGGTTTCCTTGTTATTGAAGTCAATTGCGATAGCATCTGGAGTCTCTTGTGCAATTCTCTTGAATGCTCTGTAAAGAAACTCTGGCTCTGGAACGCGGAGTGTCGACCGATTGGAGAGTTGGTTGTACACCAGATCATATTCGGCAGCACCCATGATGTTGGTAGACGAAAGGATAGAATCAGGTTTCTTGCAGAAAGTCTCTAGCACCTCGACCAATGAGTCCTTGATGAATCCCAAGCGTCGAGGGTCTATGTTGCTCGAAAGTCGGAGAATGGTAGAGTCGCTCTGTCCCTGTGACTCTTGGATCTCCAGGACCGTCATGCCATGTCCAGACTCCCATTGAGGCCGCGAGCCACGCATCTTGAAGACCTCATGGGACTTTCGTGGCCTCTCGGTCTTGTTAGCATCAATTAAGATGTTGACGAGAGTGTCGATGTCTTGTGCACCAATAGCACCCGCTTTAAGGGCTGCGGCGATACCGACTTGAGAATGCTTGAGTAGCTGAGAAAACGAGGCAACTGTCTTCTGGGCGACTTCTCGGAGGGTAGATTCAGGATCGAGCTTGATCCTCTGTGGCACAGTGCTCATGGTAGGTCCATCGAGATCATTGATACCAACGACAGGAGCTTCTCTGCCTGAAACAGTGGTTGCGAATGTGATGTCGTTGGTTCCCATCTGCCGAGACAGAACGATGGCCCAGGCGCTGTAGACGACTGCACCGAGAGTCAAACCAACACTTCTGGCACGTGTAGTAAGACTGTATCCGAGATCGAACTCGAGTTTGCTGGTGTTGTAGAGCTGGTTGCTGTTCAGCCTGAGCACTTCAGCGCCTTGGAGGTACCCGGACCAGAACGAGGCGCTGTTGGCAGAAAGCTCTTGTTGCAAGTATCGAATAAATCGGCTCAAGCTTGGGCGTTGAGGGACGGGGTTACCCATGTAGGCTGCCGCTACATCATCATACAGGAACCCATGGGACCAAAAGTCGAACAGCGAGTGGTGCATTGTTACGACTAGAGCCTGATCTGACGTAAGAGTTGCTTTCCACAGAGGCTTTTCCAAGTCCCATTGATGAACACCGTCACTTTGCTGGAAATCCCCTAGTGGCTGCTGCGACTCAAACCATGGAAGTTCCACGTTGGACCTCACGGTCTGCACAAAGGACTGTTTGTGTGGAACGAATACGGTGCGCAGGATGTCGCGAGACCTGAACACCTGCTCAAAGCTGTCTCTCAGTCGTGAAAGATCCAGTTGACTTACATCCCAAGTTCTGGAATAGGTGTATGGATCTGAGGGTGAGTTGACTGATACCAGCATGGACTCTTGGAAGGGTGTGACAGGATAAGCGTCGCTAATATCACGGTTCGCCTGCAACTCTGAGAGCAGCTTCTCGTCCTGGAGAAGTGAGAACGGCGTCGGGTCCTGCTCATCCTCCGCACCAAGAGTCTGAGCACGGGAAGCAACGTCACTGAGAGAGATATAGGCCAGCAGATCACCGAGTTCAGTAGCTAGACCGTGTTCACGTAGCTCTGACACAACCCGTATGGCCTCGATGGAGCTTCCGCCAAGGTCGGTAAAGGAATGAGATCGGCGAATGACAGAACTGTCAATCTTGAGAGATTCTGCCCACACTGATGCAATCTTTTCTTCGACGTCGGTGAGCATTTCTTCCACATTCTCTTTGTGGCCTAACTCCATGAGCTTGGCGAAGCCAGCGAAACCGAGCTCTTTTGCCTTACTTCGCAGCAAGTGATAGTTGAGCTTCCCATTTCCGTTTCTGGGTACCGACTCAATGGGGATCCAAAGAGTGGGCGTCATGAATACTGGCAGGTTGGCACGGAGATGGTTCCTCGCTGCGTTGACTGCATCTCTGAAAGAAGTACCATCATCAAGGACGATACCAGTGGCCAGGACTGTGCGATCTTCAATCTTGACCGAGAACGTCACAGCTCCCTTGATCGCGTCAATTGACGTCAAAAGCCGATCGACTTCAGCAGGTTCGACCTTTTGCCCATTGATCTTGACTTGCATATCGACACGTCCTTCAATCTCGATCTGACCACTGGGAAGCCATCGAGCCTTATCACCAGTCCGGTAAAGCTTTCCAGGACCAAATGGGTTGGCGATGAAGGCTTTTTCGGTCAGTCCTGGCTCGTTGATGTAGCCTTGCGCGAGCTGTGGTCCGGCGAGACAGAGTTCACCAAACACAAGTGGTGGTGAGAGCTCAGTGCTACCATGACGAAGGATGAAGACGCTCGTCGTGTCAATTGGCGGGTCCAGTATGCGAGGGTTCGGAACGTGTCCATCAACTGTGGTCAATGGTCTTCCAAAGTTGAGCTGTGTACACTCGCTTAGCCCATAGGTGTTTCGTAGCGTAAGGCCCTTGACAGAAGACCACGTGTTCACAAGCTCTTGTGGGGTTTGCTCACCCACGAGCGTGATACTCTTGAGATTGGGGACGTCCTTGGGCGACAAAAGAGAAAGGGCAGAAGGAGTAATTCCAAGGGCATCGACCGAAAGCGAATTAATGACCCCAGAGAGATCCCGAGTGAGTGCCTCTTTGGGTGCCAGCACCAGAGTTCCGCCGTTGACAAGAGTGCTCAAGATAGTCCGCTGAGCAGCGCTGAAACTTGGGTTGTAAAAGAGAAGCCAGCGGTTCAACCCGTTCAGAGAGTGGTGCTGCATACCACTGGTGGCAGCTTCATGAGTGAGTACTGCACCTTTGGGCTTCCCTGTGCTGCCGGATGTGTAGATGATGTAACAGCGATCTTGAGGCTTGGCATGTACCCCGATGCCATCAGTGTTGTCGAGGGAGTGTGTGGCATCGGTTCTTAGCCGTGTATAATCTTGTTCAATGTCGACAGTGTTTGGGAGCATGTTCATATACTTGCGAGTAGAGAGAACCACTGCTGCATTGCAGTCGTTGACGACTTGCTCGAGGCGACTGACCGAGAATTCTGGGTCAAGGATAGTATAAGCTGACCCAGCCTTGAGTACCGCCAGGATGGTCACGACCAGATCCAGAGATCTGCCAGCCAAGATAGGATACACAGCACCCTTCTGGAGCCTCAGTCTCCTTGCGAGATGATTAGAAAGGCTGTTGAGCTGGGAGAAGGTGAGGGTAGCGTCTCCCTGGAAGTCAACGGCAACTCTTTCAGGGTATCGAGCTGCAGTCTTCTCAAACAAAGCAGGGATAGTCGTAGGCTGTACCCTGCGGGTGCTGACAGATCGTGATAGTATGAGACGCTTCTCAGCATCCGAGACGAGCTGGATGTCTGATAGAGGGAATCTGTCCACTGCACTCAAGCCCTGGGCGGCACTGAAGATTGCCGAAACAAAGTGTCTAAAGACCAATTCAACCTTCTCCAGTGGGATCTTGGTCGTGCATTTGATCGCAAGCTGTAACACGCTGGCGTCGTTGATGCACAACACGACAGGGAACTTCCTCAAGCTTGGCGCGATGCAGGGGGTGTTGGTTGTCTGGCTGTAACTGACGGCTGTTTCGATCAGCATGCCATCTGGGGCCTGCTCCTCGATTCCAGTGTATCCGATAAATGCGTGACGGCCGGCTTCCGTATGGTAAGCATCCAGGGAGCCAGACAGGTCAGAGAAGGTTGCGTCTTTGCCAGTGGGAACTCGCATCCGGACGGGATAGGTTTGGTCAAGGCATCCGACGCAAGTATCTGAGCCCACAAAGTTTGCATCTCGACGGACAGTTCCGAAAAGAACCTCTTCTGAGTCGGAGTGGGCGCTCAAGACATGGGCCCAGATTGCTTCGAGGAATGTCTGACGCCATGACTTTGAGCCTTCACGAGATTTTTCAAGACTATTGAGCTTGGCTAGCTCTGAGCCCTGGATGACGGCACTGACACCATGTCTGTCCTGGTTAAGACCATCCAGAGCGTCAGATTCAAGACCAAAGATGGACTGGGGAGCAATATCTGACAGAGTCTTGGACCAGAAGGCTTTGGATGAGCCGATATCCTTGCGTTGCTGTGCGAGGTATCGTGTGTAGGTGGTAAATCCAGTGCTTTCGATACCAGGGATGCCGTGAATTTGCAGAAGGCAGTCGAGTCTGAGCGTATGAAGAGAGGTTGTATCGATCAGAGCCCGATGGAAGTGAAGGACGAGATTGATCTCGTCAGAACGATTGTTGGCTTCAACCGTCAGGAACGCTGAGCCTCGGTGACGCTTTTCAAACCCTTTTTCAGGACGGCGCCACTGAACAGGCTCGATACATCGCTGGACCACGACTTTCGGCGTTGGTCCATCGGTGATGCAAGATCGAAGACATATGTCTAGTCAACCTGTTAGCAACCACTTCCATATCGATTTCAATCAGAAAATGGAATACTTACGATGATATGCCAAAGATCTCCATGCATCAAAGATCTTCTCAGAGCTCAAAGCAGACGTCTTCCCAGAGAAGAGCACTGCTTCAGCCCATTGAACATCCTCTTTGAGAATGTCCTTCTGGACTTCAGTCGCAGGAAAGACAGTCTCAACGTCTGAGAAGCCCATGTCTTTCTCGTGCTTGACAAGAGCTTCGACAGGCTTGAGGCTGAGGCCGTGTTGGTAGGGGAGGAAGAAGTCCTCATGCTTCTCAGTGTGATGATAGAGCTTCATGATGAAAGATGATTAACTTATTAAGGGGATAAACAAAAGAGGCTGTGAATATTAATTCTAAGTGCTTTTGATCTATGAGGAAGATATGCTTGTGATACTGAATGAGATTGATAGTTGTTCTACAAGATTGTTCCCTTATTTATATTAAATATCCTTCACTTCTCTCTGCTTCAGTTCTTTCGTTCGTGTCTTTGAAAAATTCTTTTCACATCCCGATGTGGTGACACAAGGACTCGGGCTCAATTGCCTTCTCTGCTGCAAGTATCTGCAAGTAAGCAGAGCGGCAATGCGGCCATGCCGAACGTTCTCCCGAAGGATTGGATTCCCTGCCCTACAAGGAGTAGAACACATCTCGTCATACGTTTCTTGCTACACGTTACTCAAAACATTTGGGAATAACCTCACAAAACTTGTGTAAGACGCGCACTATGCCCTTTTTGGAAGTGGCGATGATGTATGTACTGGATGTTGTGACTTGGTAGTATTCGGGTTGAACAAGGCGTTCGCTTACGGCCCCCACGATCTATGCAGTCTCACTGACGCCACGTGGGTTACATTGAAGACCAAATAAGGCAGTTATTGAATCAACGGCTGCATACTCAATCCTTTCAATTACTCGTGTCCTCATTTCGTGATTGCGGCTCCATAAGATGTGTTTCACAAGTGGCGATATCACATTCTGCAGAAAGCAGTGGTGGGTGAGAAGTGAAGGATCAGAATCCTTCGAACCTCTAAGAAACTAGTTCGAAGCCTGCATCTCGAAAAATGTTTCCCAAATCGTTAATGTACATGAACTTTGCAAGTTTTAGGAATGTGACTGCATCAATTTTATCCCGAAGGATGTCACACTCTAGCAATATGCAGCTAGAGGATGTGCTAGAAGCGGCCCGCTTCCGAGGCGACGCTAATCTTACACAGTGTTTGTTGTACTGGGCAGGAAATGTTCCCATGAGCTGACTGAACCAGGGGTTGTCGTATGCAGCCCAGGCCATGACAAGACTACGATACTCAGAAAGCCTGAATTATGGCGGCATGTTGATCTCGCTATGATTGCCGTTACGGTAGATGAATGAAACGTTACATTGTGTCTTACATAGTAGTTTTGTATATATAGGGATTTTCCCAGACACTTCTCAAGCCAATACAGCAGATTCAAATCACGAGAAATCATTTTCCAGCTTTGTTGCAAACTTCGTTAGTCTTCTTCACTCAATTTTGAAACATGGCTTCTTGGGACAACCGCGTCGTCACCAACGAGCACTTGCTCCCTTACGTCGACTCCAACACGGCCCCGCCAGACATCAAGGCTGCTCTGCAGACTCTGCCGTTCGAGAGGAACATCTTCAAGGTAAGCCAGGCATCTTCCTTATAAAGCTTTAACATTATAGACTAACTGGCTCTCAAAGCTCCTCGCCAACAGTAATGTGTTCTTCAAACCATTCATGACTCTTCTTTCCTCCAGCTGGAGTGAGAATCGAAAGATTCTCCCTTCTGAATGGCAAACCACTGTTCTACGTACGGCAGCCACTCTAGATGCCCCTTACGAGTGGGATGTCAACGAGCCTGTCGCACGCGTCCTCGGTCTCACAGAGGAACAATTCGCGGCTCTTCGCAATCCCAAAGAACCATTGCCCGAGAGTCTTTTCACTCCGCGCCAGCGACTGATCGCCCGCATTGTTGAAGAGCTCAGTCGCCAACCCAGGGTCAGCAAGGACGTCATGGATGAGGCTCTAAAAGCTTTCAGTCACGAGGAGATCACGGAGATCTTCTTTCTCAATGGTATTTACGGCTTCTTGGCTCGCTTTATGAACAGCGCCAGAATTGACTTTGATGAGCCTATTCCCGGCTTGCTGGACATTCTGCGCAAGTACAATGCGTCGGCCATTGAACGAGAAGAGCAGGCAAAGAAGTAGATTTGGATGACTGGTAGCCTTAGACTCATAGAAGAAATCAGTTAATTAATTCACATATCTTTTATAATTTTGCTTTCCTACGCGTAACTTGTCTCTTATTGCCTTATCCAGTAGTAGACTGTCCAGACCAACATTGATTAATAGTGAAAGCTGAGGGTAATTGACAAGGCTCCGACCAGCATTTAATTGTTTTAATACGTTGCCTTAATCTCTCTTGCTAAGCCATTTGTAAATTTTACACCAAGTTAATGAGCATAGCATAGTAAATTTATTAATAGTTAAGCTTACGATGTCGTAACAAGATATATCAAGTTCATAAACTCAAAAATCATATATTAACTCAATCCTTTAGGAGGCAATTTATTCATAATCTTAATAAAGATAAGTCTATTATAGCAAAAAAGTAATAAGTAATCACGACTTATAATATTAACTTAAGGTTCCTCGTTATATGGTGAAAACTACGAATAGTTAAGTACGTCTTAATTATTTTGTTTATCTTGTAATTATTAATTATTATCTATATAGTAAGAAGAATTCCTTTTACTCACGAGGCCGCTTATCCAATTAATCAGGCTTCAGTCCCCAGAACAATGAAGTTTGGAGTGATTATTCTGCGGTTTAGAAATATCAAGCATAGTCGTAAACCCCAACTTAGGAGTTGTCTCCGTGAAAGCGGGTAAACCCAAGGCATCCATGTAACATATCACAACTCTTCTTGATTCTTGTGACACATCTGTTTTATTAACATACTATACGAAATCCAGCTGAGGAACTAGGTATCGGCAAGCCATGCTACCTCTTTCGGAGTTAGACAATATGTACACTGCATGACGCAATCTCACTGTATGTGACAACTCGAAAAGATTTTTCCTTGCATGAAAGGGTTACATTACTACCTAATCTTATTGTCCACCACTTCTGTTTAGCCTCAGAAGGCGAATATGCAGCTAGATCCTACCAAACTGCAAAACCTGCTTGACCCTTCCCACCTTGTCAGCAGGACCTGCATTGGCCGCCTCCTTTACACGCCTCTCGAATTCATCCCTGCCGTCAACATCCCGAGGAACCTGGATGGTCTTCACGGGTGGCGTACGCAGAAGTCCCCTAGCAAGTAGGTCTTGGAACCACAGCAAGAGAGATTCCTGCTCTGCTGCAGTCCGAGCCTTGAGCTGTTCAGATAGACGGAAGTTCCGAAACGTAACCTCTGACCAGAATAGCAAACGCTGAGATAGGCCAATAGTTCCGCTCGCTCCACCTAGAGACCCGAAATTGACATATGTTCCGCCATGAGACAGGGCGTTTGCGAGTCTCTCGCCGGATTCGCCAAAGACAGCGTCGATGGCAAGCACGATACGACCCTTGGCAGCAGCATCCGCGAGTTCTGCCGAAGCCTGCGTGCCAAGTTTATCGAGATCATCCTCGGTGATTACGATCTCAACACCCTGACTCTGCAGATCAGCCTTGAGGGCATCGAAACTGCCACCCTCCCGATCTCGCACGACACTGCAGGTACGAACACCCTTGAGGCGAGCAAACTGCGCTACAAGCCTCGCGATGGTTCCAGAACCTGCGTTCTGAATGATCCAATCACCAGGCTTCAAGTCACGCATATCCTCAACAAGGAGGTAAGCCGGCAGAAACGCCATGCGCAAAAGAGATGCGCCAAGCAGATCCTTAGTAGGCGACAGGGGAACAACATCCGTCACGCTAAGAATCGCTTGGCTTCTCCAGGTTCCCAACCCATGTCGACGCGGAACAATTAAGTCTCCGGGCCGAATGTGGGTCGACTCCGGGTTGGTCAGAGGACCCACTGCTTCGACGCAAGCCACGCCGTCATAACCCAGCACAGGCTGGTTGTCTAGGGTATGCAGCGGTTTGACTGGGTAGCGACCTGCAAGTACGAGGAGGTCTTGGGGGTTGATTGGGGAGAAGAGGAAAGATACCAGAATCTGATCGATGCCGATAGAATCTGGTGGAATTTGTTCTTTTTGACGGTAATGAAATCCCACAGAGGCTGATTTGCCGTCAGAGGATTGAACTTGCGTAATTGCAGCCATTTTGTAAAGAAATGTGAACAAAAATTGGAACAAAACCAGAGACAAGTAGTTTGATTGTGAATCGAGTATTGATTGCGCTTGCTAGTTTCTTGGTCGAAAGACCCAACTTTATATCCCTGACGCTCATCACTTTAGTCCACAGCCCTCTGGAGAATAGCCCCGATGAGAGCAACTATCATCGACAGATCTCAAGATGCAAATGCGGCAACTAGTGTTAGCTCACTTGGCTCGCAATCAGGCCAGCGCCCTATGCCCCTCCGTCACCTCGCGTATGCACCCGACCCCTGGTCAACGGGAACAAATTCCATTTTCAGGGTAAACTCCTTGCGAATACCACACAGTGTGCTGTAACGTTACGGTACGGGCCGGATTCCGTCATCGCCTCGTTCCTGTTTTTTTTTTTTACCCTATAGGGCCAGACAGTCAGGGTTCTGAATCCCTTCACTTTGCATGTTTTCTATCGTTTTCTATGTAATTTCTAAGCATCGTTTCATGCCCCTGAAACCGGTTGTTGGTAGTGATAATTCCGAATTGAGATATGAAAACTTTTATGCTTCTCCACAGCGTCAGAAATACATAACCCCAGATCACGGCCTAGTGTTGGAGTTTTATCTCATCGTTCAACAGTGTCTTTTAGCGTTATAACCTTAAAAACTTTAATCTTGTACGAATTCTAATACTCTTCTTCACTATGTCTTTCTCTCAGGAGAAACGGTCCGGCGACAGCTCGGACGAGACTCGCTTGTCACCATCTCCCGGCCCTGACCTTTCAGGCAACGAGGCCCTCAGAGAACCTCAAGTCGAAAAGCCAGCACCAGACCCCTCTCCTCGTAACATTCATGGCGTCAAGGTTAGTAGTAATAATCGCCCCATAACAGACCTCTTGCGAGTTTGCTAACCCTGAATTATAGTGGTTCCTCGTTGTCTGCGCCCTTCTCTCCGCCCTGTTCCTCTACGCTCTAGACAACACCGTAGTCGCCAATGTTCAAGCCAAAGTCGTAGAGACATACCAACGCGTCGATCTCGTTCCCTGGCTTGGTGTTTCTTTCGCCCTCGCCTCAGCCGCAACAACACTTCCATGGTCTAAGGCCTACGGTACATTCTCAGCTAAGAAGTTGTTCATCGGTTCGACTACTGTCTTCATGGGTGCCTCTGCACTCTGTGGTGGCGCACCCGACATCGACTCCTTCATCATCGGTCGCGCCATTGCTGGAGCGGGAGGTTGCGGCATGTACATGGGCCTTTTGACACTCTTGTCAGTCACCACTACCAACGCCGAGAGACCAAAGTATCTCAGCCTTACAGGTTTCATCTGGGGTATTGGTACTGTTCTTGGCCCTGTGGTTGGAGGATCGCTTGGCGATAGTAGTGCGACTTGGCGATGGGCCTTCTACCTGAACCTCTTAGTCGGGGTTGTCATTGGTCCAATTTACGTCCTACTCCTCCCCGACTTCAAGCCTCAGGCTGGTGTCCCCTTGACTAGCCGTCTAGCTCAGATCGACTATCTGGGTACAGCTCTATCCATTGGCTCTGTCCTATGCCTCATCATGGCGATGAACTTTGGAGGAGTCCTTTGGAGCTGGGATGCAGGCAGGAGCATTGGCTTGTTTGTCACAGCCGGTGTCTTGCTCATCCTGTTTGTCCTCCAGCAGATCTTCCAGATTGGCACTACGCTTGAGAACCGACTGTTTCCCATGCACTTCTGGAAGAGCCGTACCATGATTTGTCTCTTTTTTACAATGAGTAAGTCATGCATTCTGAAAAGTCCCTTGCATTAGTTCACTCAAGCTAACTGCCTTGTTAGTGCTGGCAACGTTCGGCAGCTTTATCGGCATTTTCTACCTGCCACTGTACTACCAATTCACTCGCGGAATCACGGCTGTAGAGACATCGGTCCACCTGTTACCCTTTATCCTGTTCCTCGTCGCCTTCAACCTATTGAATGGTCAATTTATGGGCCGAACAGGATACTACTATCCTTGGTACATTGTGGGCTCTTTGATGGAGCTAATCGGTGGAGTTCTCATGTGTAAGTAACGCCCATTCTCTCTTGATACCTTAACTGCAAGTACTAACCGTGCACCAGATACCGTGGATGAGCACACATCAAACGCCAAGATCTACGGCTATACTATTATCCTCGGCACTGGCGTTGGTTGCTTCTGTCAAGCTGGTTTTGCAGTCGCCCAGATGAAAGTCAAGCCCACCGAGATCCCTTACAGTGTTGGCTTCATGACAGTCGGACAAATGCTCGGTATTGTCTTTGGAACTGGAATGTCTGGCGCTCTGTTCGTCAATTATGGCCAGCAAGCTCTCCAACGCGTCTTCCCCAACGTCTCTCGAACCGAGATAGCCGACGCCCTCGCTGGTGTTGGGAGCGGACTCATCGATTCTGCGAAGCCTGACGTAAAGGCAGAGGCTATCCATGGCATCACGAGAGCGATTCAACTCGCATACGTACCTATCATCGCGGCCGGGTCCATTTGCCTAATCTGCAGTCTCGCCATGAGGAGGGAGAAGGTATTCCACTAAAAGGGCTTGAGGACTGAAGGACTACGAGGACTGCTCTCCAGTTCTCATCCTGGTAGTCTCTGATTCCGGGCTTGTTAGGCAGTTCTTCAAGATATTGGGTTAACTAGAAGAGGGTTTCGTTTTACTAACGAGACAGAACTATCCTTTTTCACTCGTCTACAGGCTATGCTAGTCATACAAGACTAGTCTTGGAGGGTAATTACTATGCATGGCACAACATTCAGGCTAAGCGGAGTTAGAACTCATAGAATTACAATAGCTCCGTTTCTAGTTCAAAATATAATAAACTTAACATTAGAGGCTTAAAGTCCGCATAGTTGTGATAAATAGTGCCCACAGTAAAGTCTTCCCATTTATAGTTCTTCTACCCAATCTCTCGTCATTACCTTGTCAATCGATCTATCTCCCGGTAAATGCCTCTGTGATGCTCGGAATATATACATGCTGAAAGAAGGATTTTAGATGATGTCACGACACTCAGTGAGCTGAAGAGAAAGTATGGCCTATATGGCCAGGCTTCTCGTACTGGGGTATGGAAGTTGATCGGCTATCCAGAGTTCCGCGCTTGGTGTGATGCTAAGTCTACCGGGGATATTGAGGAGGGACTCAAGAGATGGGTTGGAACTGATGAAGCAATATAACCTCCAATATGCTAACAGGCAGCTCGAACTGACGTGGACTTGCCTCATTCCAGCCATGTCGAGATTGCACAAAGGTTCATTATTCTCAACGTTATTTCACTACAGGCTTTAATGTAGGCTCTGACAGTGCCCATAAAGTGGTAGATGGGCTTGGAGCGGGAGCGTGCTTTAGATGCATCGTAGGAGACTTATGGACATGATTGTATGTAGTCTAGTCTATGGAGACTGTTACAGTCCGAGCCACTGCATACGGATCGCACCATAGCGGCCCTGGATTTAGAAGCCCAGCGTGATTTCAGATCCGCCTTATGGAATTGACATCATGAGCGTTTCTTCTTTTCCGAAGTTACATTTCTGCATATCATTACATTGTTCCACAGCTGTAGCCAGGAGCATATAACTCAAGGTAAGGCAGGTCAGAAATAATTAGAATGTATTACTAAAAAGGAAGAAGTGGTAGCTTCTTTGCTGGGATAGAAAGCGCAGTCGCGATTTGGTATTGATTAATTGAACCACAATGTAAAATTGCAAAAAGAATCTTTTTCGCTTGCCCCGTACTGGAATCGAACCAGTGATCTTATCATTACTAGTGATACGCTTTACCACTGAGCCAACGGGGCTTGTTTAGCGACTTGAAGCTTGGGAATTGGATCCGCTGTCACTTGTCATACACCTTGTTCCACGCAGGGTGTCTATATGTTATGCGGTGTGTCCCAGCCGTGGTTGAATTCGTTTCCATTGATGTCCCCCTTCAGGCATTATTATTACAACAGTCTTCTGATAAGCATACTAGCTAGCTACCTCTTAGCTCATGGTCAATTCAGCTTGCGATAACTTGCTTGGTCTCCTTGGTTTTTCCGAAAGTCCAACCAGTGCAAACTTTTTGCAATCGGCATCCACCAATTCCATCGGTTAACCAAAACATCGTCTTTCTTATCAACAGCAAACGCCACGGTCTTCCTTCACTCCCCAGAAGTCAAATCAACAGCATCCCTATCGCCTCCCTCACTAATCAGTGCTTCCCATGCTAGTATTTGTCTCTCGCCTCGCGAAGTACGTTATGCTATATCTGGTGCAAGCCTGAGTTATGGTTTTCATATGCTGTGCTACCATACTACCACTGGAATAATTAACTGATCACGTCATATCACTCTTCTTTTGTGTGGTACAGAAACTAACTTCGGCGGATTCACGGTGATTCTAAAAGAATAGGGCCCGTTGCAACGCTCCAAGCACTACACGAGGCAAACAGTAGTGAGAGATATACCTCGGCCATAGGTAGTACCCAGCACGAGGAGATATAGATTCATAGTATTATTAGACTTTTTGAATCTATGTAAAAGACGCAAGGATCTTCTATAGGTATCGTACCCACGAAGTCTATACATCCTCTGTTTGCTTCTGTTAATGGCCTTGAAGATCAAGCCTTACCGAGATCTGGATTCTTATCTTTTCCTGATTTAGTAAGCATTGTGCGGGGTGATACAGCGCAACAATTTGTTAAAGGCAAACTGTATTAGCTTGTACTCTCGGCCCCAACTTTGAGCGTTCCCCGCTCCCAGCCGCTATTCTTTAGCACTGTAGCTTAGTCTACAGAGCCAGTACTTATTGGTATCCTTTCCCCCCTTTAGTGATGGTAATTTATCTTCTGGTAAAACTCATACAGGCCCTCGCTTCCATGCAAACACGCCATGGATGATACGACTTGCAATGAGTCGCTGGAAATACAAGATGATCAGGAAAATACCTTATTTGTATGCGACACATGCCATCGGCAGTTCTCACGATTTGAGCATCTGAAGCGACACACTCAGACCCATACTGATACAAGAGCTATCAAATGCACCCACTGCAATAGAAGATTCAGTCGCAAGTAAGCACTGTCTCCCATTAAGAACAACCGCCCCATTTGAGCCATGTTGATAAGTGATATACTGCTAATCGATTTCCAGAGATGCAGCACAACGGCATGAAAGGTTACATGAACGCCAAGCACCCGAAAGCGTACAGAACTCAACTGCTTCGTCACTGCGCCGAACGTGTACGCCTTGTTCTAAATCACGCATCAAATGCTCAGGAGGGACACCATGCACTTACTGCGCCGTGAGGAATTTTGTGTGCTCTTACCTGCCCCGGAAACGACGGGAACGTCAAATCATGCTCAGTACCTCTGAAGGGCAGGGTTCTGCAGGTGGAAGAACGGCATCAACTGTGCAGTCGCCTGGTACTGTAGCCACGCCTGGGACCGCACTCGCTTGGCTTGAAACTTCGACGCGCCAACAAAACATGACTTCTGCTGTTCAAGTCCAGACAAATCTGGTACAAAATGATCAATTTACCACTAACGACGGCCAAAGCTCGTCAATGGATAGCCATCTTAGGCGTGAGCCCGAAAGGCCGACAAGTATCGTTGGTGAGATCCCAGACACATATTCATTACCCACAAACTGGCTACCATTTGACGATGTTCCACGAAACAGCTCATTGCTGCATAGTCTTAACGACATGCCCCATCTAGCATCTGAAGTCGGTGATGCATCCGCAATTGCTTCCCAGAGCCTCGAGACGCAAACACCGTTTCCAATTCTCCCAGGAATACATGAGCAAACCTTACAGCAAGACCATGTTTCTGCTTTGATTGCTTCCATGGCCTCAAACAAGCCAAGGAAAACACAATCTTCGGGCATTAGTGACAATCCTGCGCTTTCCAGCACTCAAGCCACGCATTATTCAGACGGAGCGGGATTCAGGGAAAGTCGAGCAGAGAGACACATGCGTCAACGACGCGCTGCTTATGCCGAAGACCATGGGCCAAGTCCGGGCCATCAGGTGCACACATCGTGGCTGGATGACCTAAATGCCAAAGTCGCGGTAGCGAGCAGAAGTACCGGGACATGCAGTGACGTTCCAGATAGTATCTTCGAGGAACTCATGTCGAGATTAGACTCACATGCGACCAGCTCCCATATTCTTGCCGACTTTGTCGCGCACAAAGAAAGCCTGCTGGCGAAAAGTACCTTTACACTATTTATCAGCCTCTACTTCGAGCACTTTCATCCGGTAAACCCTTTCATTGACAGATCACATTTGTCTATCCCCCTCTGGGGCTGGAGCTTGTGCCTAGCTACCGCTGCAATTGGTTCTAAATACTTTGGTTCTGAAGAAGTCAATCGCTTTGGAGATTGCTTATGCTGTATCCTGCATGAGCTCATGGCAAGAGAAGTATATCAATCGTCATCCCATCATCTGACAAGAGTCTAGCTGACTTCGCATAGCTCGATTTTGTCAACTCCCAGGAGCCGTTGCCTTACATACAGGCCCGGATCCTGGCATCAGTTGGGCTCTGTCAAAGTCGCCAACCGGAGCTACTCAGATGCGGATACAACGCCTCAGCCATGGCAGCACAAGCATGTCTTCGGCTTCGCTTACTGAGTGAGGATGACAATATCGGCTCCTATGAGGATGATCAGAGTCTGGAGCAGGAGTGGATCACTTGGCGATTTCGAGAGACACGAAGAAGGACGGGCCTTTTCGTTTGGGTAAGTAGGTCGTTTCTTTGCGAATGATGGTCCGTTCTGATACGTCGTATAGTTAACGAGTTGCTACTTCGCTCTGGCTTCTGAGCATCACCCGTGCTTATTCCCCGACCAGCCTCAAGTTAGACTTCCATGCCGCGAGGAATTATGGGCGGCTGAGTCCCCGCAGGCTTGGTCTACGGCAAGGTCAGAAGTTGGAGATGCTGATCCAATAGCTTTCTCCGCCGAAGAAGCCTCACGACCGACAGTGCCTGAAGTTACAGTCGAGCTTTGGCGAGACTTGACGTCGAAGCATTCGTCAAATTCCTTTGCGACCATCGTCATCATACACATGCTGGTCCATCGTAGATGGAGCGCCAATGAATATTTGGCTGACATAATTCGCGACATACCAAAAACAAATCTGTCAAACATCTATGTACCTGGGAGAAAGTACCTTGGTTCAGTGCCCGAGTACATTAAGTGGCGCAACCAGTGCTGTGACTGTTTGGATATTCTACACTGGGAAGCACTCAGTCTATCAGCCAAGGCAGAAGGACTTGAAGGGCCAGTACTACTGCATCTCCATCTAGCTCGCCTATCACTTCTCACGCCGGTCCAAGACCTTTTTGCGTTCGCCCATCAGAGTACTCTTTCGGGGACGGCTCACATGACTCCAAGTAGTCTCTATCGCCACGGCACTTCCAAGCTAGATCCAAGACACACTGTCAAGATCTGGGCGACTCAAGATCGATATAAAGCTCGCCTCGCAGTGATACATGCTGGGGCTGTTCTGTGGCATGTGAGGCGATACTCATCAGACTCAATTCTTGAACCGTTTGCTCTCTTTCTTGCGGCACTGGTGCTCTGGGCCTATGGGCAAACTTCCAACATTCGAAAGCTTTATGAGTCTGCGTGCACTAGAGCGCAGTCTCCAGTGAGCGATAACGAGAACTCAGTGATTTCCGCAACCACGACACATGGCTCAGTAGAAAACCGTGCGATGCACGATTATATATCAAGGAGGCGGCGAATGCCAAGCACCATGCAATTGGATAGGCCGATGGATGATGAACTTGTTCAGTACTTCATAAGATTTGGGGAGGACCTACGTCTTCCACTTGAAGGAGTAGATGAACTGTGTACAGCTGAGGGTCCGTTACAGATACTGCAAGAGGTATCAAGTCTACTGATGGAACAGCACAAGCCTTGGGGTATTTCTGATACTTATGCTAGATTTCTACAAGACCTACAAATGCCGCAGTGGCAAATATGAACGCACTATGGACTGGGAGAGGAATGGGCTTTTAAACTCGTCAGAATGGAGCCAACATGATGTATTCTAAATTAGTCATTCATTATTACATCGAAATGATTACTGATAGATTCCCGTGTCTTCGAGTCGCATGTGTGACTATTTGTGCTTGATCATTCGTGTCGAGGATCCTATTCCAGCAAAACATCATGGCCAGCAAGTCCTTTCCATAGCCATAGATAGAAGATATGAAAATTCCTTATCTATAAGGCTCCTCGCGGCTACCGAGAAGTTTGCATCAGCTCTAAACCTTATCCACCCTTGTTTCCTGGCTGTTATCATAGGCATCGACGTGATAGGTCTTGAATATCCTCGTAGGGAGTTTGGCCTCGAACATCAAGTCGAGTTCCTCGTAGCTGCGACCTCTTGTTTCGGGGAGGCGGAAGAAAGCCCAGACAACACTGAGACACGCAAAGGCGAACCAGAAGAATCCAGTTTTACCTGAGATCCCAGAGTTAGTATTTAAGAGCCAAGAGATAGAGGGGATCTACGAACCTTTCCAGTTCCAAGCAGAAGGATTCATCATGTACGGCTGAATGACATTGGCAACAATCTGTGCCAGGTAGTATGAAGTTCTGGCCAAGACTACGGTCTTGGATCGCAAACGCGTGGACGAGACTTCTGCAGGGATTGCCCATCCAATTGGCCCAACGGTAAGAGAGAAGGTAAGTAGCCAGATCAAGCAAAGGATCGACTGAACCCACTTAACGGCTGGATTGTGAGTATTGGTGGCTAAAGCACCGATGATGAGGAGCCACATGCTCATGGCACTCATGCCTGCGAGATACAAGTCTCGACGGCCGATGTGTCTCATCAGGAACCAGGACGCAATAGTGCCACAGAACGCCATTCCAGTACCGCCGAGATTCAGGTTGTACGAGGTCTCCGAGTCTAATCCTGCTTGCTGGAAGAAGTACGTGGCAGAATAGGCGAATTGGGCACCGCAGGTAATTTGACCAAGGAACGACACACAAGCAATCTCAGTACGGCGTACATCAGCCGGCTTAAAGCAATCCCAGTATGAAGTGCCTTCTGCTATTCGTTTCTCGGTTTCGTTTGTATGGATCATCAGCGCAACGAGAGGCTTTGCCTGCGGCTTCTCGTGAGCGGCCATCAGGCGGAGTACACTCTTTTCAGCCTCGCCGTATCGACCCTTACGAACTAGGAACCAAGGGGACTCTGGCATGAAGATGCACGCGGCAAAAAGAAATGGGATCCAAAGCCATTGCAGAGCAAAAGGAATCCGCCATGCCCAGTCGTTGTCCCACTCAATGAAGCTCTTGAGGACTCCAGCACCAATGAGCTGGCCTGTTGCGAAGCACATGTTGGTGTAGGCGGTGAGGTATACGCGGAGAGGAAGCGGGCAGAGTTCTGACGCATACGCAGGACCGATCGTGGCAAAGATGCCCCAAGGAAGACTTGGTCGCGAATTAGCCGAGGGACTCAAGAGCATACGCCGTGTAGAGGGGAGGGAGGTTTCTTGGCTTACCCGCAAAGAATCTGTCCCACTGCCTGCAGCTCAACAGACATGCCGAAGAACGAGACCATGACAAAAGCAGCCAACAACACCACGCCGAGAAGGAAAGCAGGCCGGTACCCAAAGCGCTGAATGATGAACCCATTCATGATGGCGCCAATGATGGCACCGGCTTGCGGACCGCTCCCCATGGCACTCTGCCAGCGGGCCGGGATCTGATAAGTTTTGGTTGCATCCTGATATTCTCCAAATCGACGAGCGTAGGTAGGATAGGCATAGAGCGAGCCGATCAGGATAGTGTCATAGCCTTCCATGATAATGGATAGTGAAACAACGAGGGACCAGGCGACAGCCCATGGGTAAGACTTGAGGGCTTGGCGAACAGTGAGAGCATGCTCATGCGCATTTGCTGCCTGGGCTTCGTCCAAGATAGCTTCCCAGGGGCCAGCTCGGCCAAGCATGATGTTGGGATTCCCCTTTTCGTCGTGTGTATCGCGCCTAGCTAGGCTTTCGTTGTGCTCGACCGAATGAGAAGAGATGGTCTTCTCCATGGCCGGTACGGTAGTTCTGTTTAATGCTGCTAGTGATAACAAATACTGATAGTAGAAAGGGGATAGGGATGAGAATGTCTGATCTTGAAGACGGAGAGCGTCCGAGCTCTATATTTTATACTTGCAAAAGATGAATGCCTGACTCTGACGATTTAATATGACTTTCAACCGGGATGCTTCGAAGTCGTATGAGAGCCGAACTAGCTCTCAAGCCCCGTGGGGAAATGTCACGAAATGACCAGAATGCGGAGAAGCAGGCCGCATCGGAGCCCTGCTCTCCAATGTGAGGCATTGGAAAAGCGTAAAGGGTGTACATTGATCTAGGCTCAAGACTAGATTGGTCCGCAAGGTTCTTCGGGATTTCGTCGTATTCTTGACCCTCTAGTCCCTAAGGCTACACCTAATCCGGGACAAGCATCGTTGGTAAATATTTATGTCGGACAATCCACCCCCACAACGAAAAGCCGATACTGAACTACTGACAGCCACTAAATTATTACGACCAATCGAGCTTTGATATTCGCCATCGATGGGTTCGCTATTATCGCTCATTCCACCCCCACTCTATATTTCCTAGCATCAGGGCTTCCTCTGAAGTGCGAGAAACAGAAGCAGGAGCAGGAAATCAACGCCAGTATTGAGAGGGGTAAAGATGGAGAAATGCTTGGCTGAGAAGGGATCTGCATTTCTAATATGTATAAGAGAAAGTGTAGAGTGATTAGTTCTTTATCCAATTCTGCGTCGTCCACTTGATTCAAATCCTTACATTCTCATCGTCCTTCCAATGGCAGATAATCCTATTTTCATCTCCTGGCGAACCACCTCGCTGACCATAAACTTGACCAAAAATGAGTTTGGGGCAATTTGTCTGTATGAGATCCTTCCCTTGAATCATCGCCATCAGAAGTCGGCTTCACGCCTTTTTGCCTCGTCTGAGCTACCACTCGTTAGTGTCAAGCTGAGCGGCGAAGGCAATACCAACGACAAGACGGCAAAGTCACTTGTTGGCGGCTATCTGTCTTCGAGGCTGAGATACAAAAGTCACCAAGAGAGTCAAGATGGTGATGTGCACAGATTGGGCATCCATAGTGAGGATGAAAGGGCGGGAATCTCGGTGACTGCTCACTTGAGCGTATACAGAGATGTGCCTGTTCTTAGGTCAGCCGTCACAATCATAAATGAATCCAAGTCATCGGATGTTATTGTCACCCAGATTTCATCTTTGACCATCGGCGGCCTCACAACAAGTTCCAACGAATGGAACAAAGACTACGTCCTTAGGACATCGAACAACAGCTGGTTTAGAGAGGCTCAATGGCGCAAACATTCCCTACCCGACATTGGCATAGACAAGAACGGTATTTGTGAGCTACCTGATGGTCACTCAGGATCGCAGGCAACCTTTAGTCTCCAAAACAGGGGATCCTTCTCAACTGGCTCACACCTGCCTATGGGCATATTGGAGTCAAAGGAAAACTCGGATACCTGGGCTTGGCAGATCGAACACAATGGATCCTGGAGATGGGAAATTGGCGACTACAAAGACAGCATCTATGTCGCAGCCGGAGGTCCAACCAAGGCGGACCACGATTGGAGACATACCCTGCATCCCGGAGACAGCTTTACCACGCCCCCGGCCTCGCTGACCCGTGTCTCCGGATGTTTTCAAGATGCTATTCGGGCACTAAACGACTACAGACGACGAATCATACGGCCGCATGACGATAACAAAAGGCTTCCGATAGTTTTCAACGACTACATGAACTGTCTCATGGGTGACCCAGATGAAGACAAGATCGAAGCTCTACTTGATCCTGTGTCCCAATCAGGTGCCGAATACTTCGTGATTGATGCCGGTTGGTACGCTGATGACAGTAACTGGTGGGATGACGTTGGCTTGTGGGAACCTTCCAAAAGGCGATTTCCCTCTGGCTTCAAAACGCTGATGGAGAAGATCAAGAGCAAAGGTCTCATTCCAGGGCTATGGCTGGAGCCGGAGGTCGTCGGTGTACGGAGTGTCGTCGGCGACAGACTACCAGAGGACGCCTTCTTTCACGAAAACGGGCAGCGCATCGTTGAGAGAGGAAGATTTCAACTCGACTATCGCCATCCAGAAGTGCGAGCCTGGATGACCAAGGTTGTCGATGGACTTGTGCTCCATTACGGCGCTGGGTTCTTCAAGTTCGACTACAACATCGAAGTCATCCAAGGAACCGATGCTCCGGGCTCTTCATCCGCCGGAGCCAACCAGCTCCTCCACCAGAGATGTTATCTCGACTGGGTCCGGTCACTCCTCGACAAGCATCCAAACCTTGTGATCGAGAATTGCTCCAGCGGCGCGCAGAGGATGGACTACGCCATGCTATCAGTTCACTCTCTTCAGTCCACTAGCGACCAGCAAGACCCTGTCCTGTACGCAGCCATCGCCGCAGCTCTGCCAACATGTGTACTGCCAGAACAAAGTGCGAGCTGGGCATATCCCCAGCCGGAATGGAGTGACGAGCTCAATGCCTTTACTGTAGTGAATAGTTTATTGGGGAGAGTCTATCTCAGTGGTAGACTCGATCACTTGAGCCCTTCGCAGATGGAGCTCATCACCGAGGGGATGCATGCCTACAAGACCATTCGTCAGTATCTTGTAACGGCGCATGCTATCTGGCCTCTAGGACTACCTCGCTGGCATGACGACTGGATCTCTCTGGGTTTGGAGACTGATAATGGTCTGTACCTTTCAGTGTGGCGAAGAGGCGGTAGCTGCTCAAAGGAGATACCGTTGCCAAGATTGGCTGGATGCGGCAAGGTCCAGGTAAACGTCCTGTATCCCAAACGACTACCCACCCAAGCCATCTGGAACGAAGGACATGGTATTCTAGAGCTCAAACTTCCTGAGACGAGATGTGCTCGGGTTCTTCATATTACTATCTAGATAGGGCTGCTCATAAGTAACTAGACAATTGCTGCTCCATGGCTACGATCACTCCCAAAACCTTCGCCTTCTCTCTCGGCTGAATTATTTTTCTCTTGATCTTGTGTATATACGAGAGGGTATAGACGTTTCTCGACTGGTTTCCAGGCAGAGTACGGGCTCGTCTAGAGCTGCGAGAGATAGTACAGGGTACCATGTCGATTAGGCCTTGACCCGTTGGGCTTCTTCTTTTACATATCTTAATTTTTCTTCTAATATTCTTCCTTTCTTCCCCCGCCCACTATTGCTTTTCTTGTATTATTTTATGTCTTCTTGTATCCATATTTATATTATTTAATCATTCCTTAAGATAAGTCAATACGGTAGCTAGCTATTAATAAAGTTCATGGAACCCATGTCCAATGGGAGAATTGAAAAGCAGAGTAGCAGCACCGGAGAACAGGGATGTAAATATGTTATTCCGACTGAATAGAGTTTGGCGATCTTCTTTACCGACTGTTCCGGGTGAAAAGCAGCCGCGCCACCTTGTTTTATTTCACCTTTGACTACTCCATTAATGGATTTATATAGTAGTCGTACTCATACTACGGGCAGCTGTTGACTTGAGAACATCCACTGAACTGTTTGCGACACGATGGTTTCATCCAAACTCCTCTTCTTGGCAGTTATTGCCGCGGTGCAAGCTATCGACGTTGACGTCGCGGTCGTAGGCGGCGGTGGATCTGGTGGTTATGCCGCCGTCCAGCTCCGAGAGAACTATGGCAAGAAGATTGTAGTCATTGAGAAGCAAAAGCAGTTGGTACGTAGAATACATAACCTCTTAATGGAAGAACGACTGACATATTGTAGGGTGGCCACGCACAGTCTTGGTACGATCCAGTCACGGGAAAGGCGTACAACTATGGCGTCGACGCCTTCACAAATATCACCGTCTCAATTGACTTCTTCAAACAACTCAAAGTTCCCATTGGGCCAGTCCAGTCTGAACAAGTACGAAATTTGTACGTCGACTTCAAAGATGGCAAAACAGTCGACTACACGCCTCCAACCACGAAAGAGGCCGCTGATGCTATGGGAAATTATCGTGACCAGTGGCTTAAGTACACCGACATCCTCTTACCTACCAGCGAGAACTTCCCACGAGGTGATAAGGTTCCGTCGGATCTTCTGCTGTCTTGGTATGAGTTCGCGCGCAAGTACAAGGCAGAGGCTGCGAGTCCAAGCATCTGGGATACTGTTGTCGTCGATCTCAACACTGCGTTGATGATTGATGTTTGGAAAGCATGGAATCCCAGCGTAGGATCGTTCCAGCCAGCATCGGGTGATAACACAGAGATCTGGCAGAAGGCTGCTAAAGTTCTAGGCAAAGATGTTCTCTATGAGAGTGAAGTAGTCTCGGCTAAGCGAAGCAAGAGCGGGGTCAAGCTTCAGGTTAGAGATAAGGATGGGCAAGTCATCAACATCAACGCCAAACGACTTCTGATCACTATCGGACCTGAGACGATCAACCCAAAATACTTTGACTTGAACAGTGAAGAACTGGAAGTCTTCCACTCCGCTGCCGGCAACCGCTATTACACTGGCATCGTATCTCACCCGTCATTGCCTGCAGCTGAGATCACCAATATTGTCCCAGCTGCCATCAACGAAAACTATCTCGCGTATCCAACCGTCCCCTTCCAAGCCTACTTTCACTATAAAGGAAACTCTTCCACCGGACCTATCCACCGCGCTTTGGCTATCGTTCCGAGGGACACTTCGATTGAGGATGCCAAAGACCTTATTCGCAAATCCCTTCAGAATCTCATTGATGCGGGAACAATCCCAGCTGGGAATTCTACCGATCTCGATTTCAGAACGTTTTCGGATCATGGCCTTTTATATAGGCGCTGGTCTGCTGATCAGCTGCGTGGTGGTATCTTTGCAAAGGCGAATGCTCTTCAGGGTCAACGATCGACTTGGTATACTGGGGCTTTCTGGATGAACAATGATTGTGTCATGTTGTGGAACACTACCAACGCCATCCTGAAGGAGATGCTCAAGGATATTTAGATGAACGTCTCTTTGTCTACCAAGTTCTTGAGGACCTGAGGCATCTGAACTCCCTTCTTTTCACTTCTTGACAGCGGCGAGTACGGTGCGCTGGAAGTCAATTCCTGCTCTACCTAGTTCAAATATCAATATATTGTTACGAGATTCGCAGCATACAGTGAACGGAATGAAGAATCACTCGCTCACAGACCGTTGTGTAGTGGATGTTTGAGGCAAGACGGTTAGTATGAGCGAGACTTTGCAACCAACATTAACAACTTCTTAAACAATCACTAAACCAAGGCATTGTAGCTCACATTCAACAAGACTTTCCTCCCAAAAGACGGATAATTGATAAATGGGGGAATGGGCGTTGCAGGACTCCTGTGTCTAACGACCTAATTCCAGTCTATATGTTACGAGCTACTACTGTTTTGACCCCAAACCCAATGCAGCAGATTGGTACTAACCTCGACCCCATTCTCAGTCTCTTTAGTGACCATTTCAACCAGCGATTTCACCCCGCTCTCGATCAAACCCGGGCTCCCTTCCTTGTCCAACAATAAAAGACCATTGAGGCTTTGTGCCAAGTACTTTAAAGCCACTCTAGTAATGACTGGGGTCAGATCAGGTCTTCCCAATGTGACGAAGACCTTTTCGTCTACTTGCTGCAAGCCAGCCTCTTGAAATTGACTTGGTAGGAGGACAGGGCACCTTGAGCATGTCAGCAAACATACATGAAAACACCTTTTGGGGATAAGAATCTTAGGCACTTACATAGGACCACGTCCGAACTTGACGGCCTCTGCGGACTCGATACTCTTCCACTCATGGAGGGCAGCCGAGTATGGGTTACTGGCATATCCGTAGGCTCCTATCTCGAACCAGAACATATACCCATCCGGCTTGAGCAGTGTTTTCAAGTTCTTCACAGCCAAAAGCCACTCGTGCTTCTTCAACACAGCATAAGGTAACTTTACATGTACTGAGTCGTATGTTCCCAAATACTCTTTCGGAAAAAGCTCCAGCACGTTGCCATACTGAAGCTTGGCATTTGCCGGTAATGAAGCAGGGTCGTGGGACTTTTTTGTATGAATGTCGAAGCCGTCTAGCTGTGCTTCCTTGGCAAGCTTTGGAGCGAACTCTTCCAGAGAGATTCCAGTGCCGGTATCTGCGTCGGCGACTCTGGGGGCTGGCAGGGACTTGAGATGTAGCCAGATGACTGGCGGGAGATCGTCACGCATAATAGCCTTAAAGACGACATGCTGGAAGTCAAGACGCTGCCGCTCTTTCTCGACGGCGCCATGGTTGAGGGTATAGATCGAGGGCATCTTTACACTGCTTGAGCGACCATGGAAGTAGGAGGAACGTGTCGTGGATAGTACAAGACGAGTAAACGATTAATGGGGACGTTATAGATACTGTCACTTTATCCTCATGTAAGGGGGTAGTGACACATGATTATGCAGTGTATCGATCGTAACAAACACTAATTGTTATCCGTAGCACCAACAGCGTCTTCGGAGTCCGGACCAAAGCTTACGCTTGATAGTATCCATTCGTAAGAAGGAGGCTCGAGAATCAAGCAACAGCACATGTTAAGATTACACAAAGGTCCAATGTTACCAAAACGTTAACTAAAACTAAGGATATCTTACCACTACCGCGTGGTGTTTTAAGGAACTGTCTCTGGCGAATATATTGTATACTGGCTCTGATTGGTAGGAGATACTTCTGCCCCGGGAGAGACAAGAATTGAAAGGCCGGAATTACCAAGTGTATTGCCGAGACCGAACACCACGGTCGCACCTGTAACCTGCATGATGTGATTTAACAGGTCGGGGGCTTTGGCTGACAAGGCGGGATCCCTGCCCTCATTTCTTCCCCTCTTCGCAAAGTCCCAGCTCACTTCCTTCGGCATATTGTTGACTGGTACTTGTGTCCGTTAACTGAAGATTGGAAAATCATCGGTATTTGGCACCGTCACCATGGCCACGCCTTCATTCCCGCTACCTGATGGTTTTGTATCAGTCAGCGACTACTTCAAAGCGCGGCAATCGTTGATCAGCGCTGAGCAATCGCTGGGATACGAACGCAAAGCGAAGGCATCAGATCTCGAAGCTAAAGTCCAAGATATTGTAAACAAGCTGAAGAAGTGGGAAGAATGCAATCACCATGGCGTACTCCCAGATGGTTCAGGCTTCGAGGCTGGCCATCGCTTCCCAAAATGCCATCGAGTCCAGCAAATTGTTGCAGATTGCACGAAAAGCACCCAAAGGCAATCTTCTTTATTGTCATTTCGACTGCATTCTTCCGCCACAAGGAATGTTGGAAGATGCGAGGAAGCAGAATAATCTAAATATCAGCTGTAATTGTCCGTTGACGTCGAAAGGGTTCTTTGCTTGCGGCTTACCCAAGTTCTGCGTTCTTCCCGAAGGTAAGCATGTGGCGCCGAGCGAGACAACAAACTTATTCAGCAGAACGTAGGTCGCTGGTTGTTGGATGAAGTATTACGATTTCTTGCGACTATTTCCGGGCGGTTCAGCCCGGGCGGAGGCATGGGTTACCAAGAAGATGGTAATCGGGTCGAAGGACGCTTATCATCCAGAACAGACCGTCAATAGGTAAGTTATATGGAACAATATTTTCCCACAAGCATCGCTGCTAACTTTTACTCACCAATATCTGGAGAGAGTTCATGCGGTGTGTTTTTGTAATGCGGTCACTGCTCTGCTATGACACGGCATATAAAGAACACTTCCGACGGATTCTTTGGAGGTTTGCCGAGGTTCATTTACACCTGTCTACGCTCTATTACCAAACACTCCATGAAGTGGTGTATGAACACATGTATAGAGCTGAAGCAGAAATTTCCAGATCTCACTTGCGGTATGTCTCAGCTCCCCATTTCACTCACCCAGGTCTAACTTGGTGTGTTACAAGTTTCGATTTACAGGGCCAAGAAGACGCCGGTCAACCTCTGTCTTATTGAATTCCTGAGCTTCTCGATATGAGAGCTAGGGCTGATAAGTTGGGACTCGATCTTCCCTTTATCTTCCATGCGGGTGAGACGCAGGACCATGGAAGTGACACTGACACGAACCTGTTTGACGCTATCCTTCTTGGAACCAAGCGCATTGGACATGGATTCAGCATCATCTAGCATCCACTGTTGATGCAACTATGCAAAGAGAAGAATATTGCCATTGAGACCTGTCCAATCTCAAATGAGGTTCTGGGGCTCTGCCCGACGACTAAGACGTATCACCTCCCCATCTTGCTGTCCAACTGTGTGCCGTGCATTATCAACAGTGACGATCCGGGGTCGTGGAGGTAAGTGTTCCTTCTGGCCTTTGACCTTTCTGCTTGGCTGACATCAATTACAGAGCGAGGGTCCTCTCTCACGACTTTTACCAAGCTTTGACGGGAGCCAACAACTTGTCGATACCCGGTTTGAGGGCCATTGCTGAGTGGAGTGTTGAAGATAGCTGCATGAGCTCTGGCATGCAGAAGAAACTGTACAAAGATCTTGAGGAGAGCTGGATTATGTTCTGCCAGTGGATCATTGATACGTATGGTCAGTAGTGATTAGTAAAGTTGACAGCAATGTTCCTGTAGATATCCATAGACGTGAGGTGATTAAAACGCCCTGATTAAACTCACCTCCCTAGGGTTATACCGAGTAGGATCTTATCTAATGATATTTTCTTTATATATAGTCTATTCTCCATTCTAATGCTCTCTTATCCTATGCAGAGATCCTGCCCTTATTTCTTCCCCTCCTTATAAAGTACTCATTCATCGCAGTTTGCACCTCTAGGGACAACACTGCGCCGCAGCGCCTGAGGTGTGAGCGAGCTGAGCCTAGGTCCCGGCCTCTTAGATGACCGACATGCGCGTCGGTCCTTTCCAGCTAGTGTATAGACGCCTTGAAAACATCGATAGACGACTAGTAGTGCCCATGGCACTGAGAGGTAGCATTGCCCGCTCAACGTGGATTGCTTAGCGTCACGGCTGAATTGCTCAAACTTCTCCGCCCTTGATCTGTCCAGAACGTGGCAGCAAATTCCTCAACGCCACTGTTTTAACTCAGCTAAGATCGGACGCGCCCGTTATTAGCGCCTTGCATATTTTCCGAGACCCCTGCAAGAGAGGCCGGAGTAAACGTCCCGTCCGTACCACATAACTTTCTTCTACATATATGACTTGTCGGTAACGGCCGGCTTCCCCGCCATTTGGTACTTGATACTGTAGATGCTCCATAGGTCATGGGCCGAGGCCTTAACGGCAGGTATGTGCCCGCGGCTTAGAACATCCAGCATACAAAATGTGATATGGTTTTAGCTTATGATTAGCTTTCTACCAGCTTTACTTTCACTACGGAGTATATCGTGCCATTATATGCAGCCAAGCTTATAGCATGTCTCAATTTTACTTTCTTGGCAATCTATCATACGATATAAAGTGGCATCAGCCTTAATCTTGATGATTTGTCACAACCTAAATTAGAGACACGTCTACGCCACCTCCAGTTTTCTCCAGGAGCTTTACTCCTAACCCGCCACTACAGGCAATAGCTCCAGCGGCTGAACCGACTAAAGCGGGCCCCTACTGTCGCTGACTCTAAAGTAAGAGCGTTATTCGCTCAATGCAGAATACATCACATTTCTTCAGCTTGCTTTACTGAAAGAGTGGCTGAGAAAAGACGTTGAAACTAACTTAATAACTTGAAATCTGAATCAACCATGGAAGTGCATGTGGGCAGATTGCTGAGCTGAGGCATAACTAGCTCAGAGTATCATAACTAGAGGCATGTGATCTACCATCTCAGGTTAGAGGCGCAACTCTTCAGGCAGCCATAACCTCAGCCATGTTCGCCCGACGTCGAAGCTGGTCACTTGAATGTTTGGATCTTCGGCTTGCTTGCCAATGGTCACTTTCTGGAGGAAAATTCCAGAGTCTTATTTGTGTCCTAAGACAGTATACTGCCACTTACCCGCGTAGAGATCTCAGCACTAGGCAGGGCGCCTTTGACTATATAAACCTCTTCGCAGTCCTATCTTTCAGAAGTACTTCTCACTTCATCATAGACCTATTTCTTTCACATACAATCCAATTCCACAAACTAACCATTAAAAATGGCTGAGCTCAATATCCAGAAAAGCCGCATCGACGAAACTGAGGTTGATTTCCAAAACAATACGGTCGACTCATCGAAACTGAAGGGCGGCTACAGCACATGGCAGCTCATTCCTGGAGGGCCAGCTGTTAAAGTCGGAGACACAAGCAAAGAAATAACTGGGCAGTTTACAACCCTTAACTTTACTAACCAGCAAGGCGAGGTCGACCCATACAAGCCTGACAAACCATTCACTTTCGAGGCAGGTGAAGAACTCACCTTGACTGGCAAGTAACTCGACTCCCTTATATCTGAGAGCTAAGGTTAACAGTGGTTGTATAGGTCCTGATGATTCTAACACCGTCACCTTTTCTGGCGAATCTTCCGGAAAGAGCGAATGGAAGCTTAGCAAGGACAAATGATCGTACCAAATGCATAGTCTTGCTGCGAAAGTGTCTCAAAGCGAAGCTGTTGAGAAAGGCCGGATGTTAGGCAGTGTTATATGAAATGAAGGGGTACGTGTGAGAACCGACGTTCTTTATTGATACTTTCCCACTGCTTTATGTAACGAAATTGAGAAATCCTATTTTTTCTTCTCTCAGAGAACAAAACCTCGTGTTATGGTTTTGATGATATGTTCTTCGATGCAGTAGAATGACAGTAACGATTGGGATGTTGCATGAGAAGTTGCTTGCTTTGTAGTGCTTCTAGTCTATTTCATCAACCCGTCTACGCTGTGCCTTGCCACTTCCACCGATCCTGCCGCTTGATCCACAATCCACCATTGCTTGAGCAATAACCTTATATCTTCTCCCGCAGTTTCGCCTGCATAGCACCTCTCATCGCCTCTACTGGAGCCTCTCTTCCAGTCCACAACTCAAACTGGGCATATGCCTGTTCCTCCAGCACATCGACGCCCCTGTACACTTTCCAACCAGGATATCGCTCAGCGACTGTCATCATACCTGTCACTTGCGGTCTGTATGCCATCTCTACCAACACTCCATCTCTAGTTCCTGAGAACAGGCCACTGGGAATCTTCTCAGCTCTGAGATCGTCAGCCGGCACGCAGGCAACGATCAGCCTGATCTGAATATCCTTCGCAATGGAAGCCTCCTTCAGTGTTGCAAAGGTCCGGGTCTTGAGGTCAGGAAACCTCGATGCTAGATCCTCAGCCTTGCTCAAGGTCCTATTGACGACAATAAGCTCCCCAAAACCAAGAGTCTGAACAGCGTAGCACGCCGCTCTCGCAGCACCTCCAGCACCCAGCACCAGAGCTGACGACGAAGCAAAGTCTCGAGCTCCGGACTTCTCAACACACCTCTTGATGCCGATCCAGTCTGTGTTGTCGCCATGAAGCACTCTCTTCCCATTGACCTCTGAGACAACAACGGTATTGATAGCTCCAATGTTCTCTCCTCTTGGAGAGACTGATCCCAACAACTTGCCGATCTGTAGCTTGTGTGGAAACGTGACAGATGCACCGCCAAAGTCTGTCCGGGTTATGATGCTCTCGACTGAGTCATCAACATTTTTGCTTTCGTGAATTTGATAGTGATGAGGTAGTTTGAGAGCCTTGAACCCGGCATTATGCAATGTGGGGGATAAAGAGTGCGAGATGTTATGACCAAAGATGTAGAATTGCTTCTGGCCATCTGCTTGGGTACCTTGCGGCACAGCATCAGGCGCATGAGTCATTGTATTTGTTGTAGAACCGTTGTGGTTATTGAGACGTTGGTGTGAAGGAGTGCTGTTATCTGCAACCATATCGAACGGACGAACGAAACACAAAGGTAAGGTTAGTGATGTCGAGTGCAAGGTGATCTCTTTCGATGTCAGAACATTAAATCGCCCGTCTTCTTGAATCGATAAGAAGTGGAGCACCCATTGTTGTCATTGACTTGTCTCCAAGGGAGTGGGAAAGAACTTTGCCGGCTGGGGTAACATCCACTACTGGGCGCCTTTAGTGTATTCTCGCTCATTGAATCGTCTAATATTTCATTTGAGGGCACAAAGAGGCTAAGGTGTCAATTCCTAGCCACCTTTGTAATGTTCTGGTGGAAGATGATCCGTACAAGTTCCCCGTGAGCATGACTTGCAAAGATGTCGACTGCTAGGGTGCCTAACAAACCAACACCGGTGGTCCTTCTGACTTAGAATCCCATGTCGAATAGGTGTTCAAGGTTACTGGGCGTATCGTCAAGCATTCCGAGATGCTGCATAAACTCTGGTGGGTTCGCCAGCCTATTTGCGTGTTAGCTGCGAAATCAACGCCTATTCTTTGTCGACTTGCCAATCAGTTGTGTCTAAAGTAGCGAGGCTGTCGAAGAGACCGTCGTCTTCAATATTGGCGGTTAGTGATGGATCCAGAGGGAAGGATAGGCCACCTGGTGACGGTGCGGTGAGATTGGTTGATGATGGATTTTGTGACACTGAGGGATCAATCCTGTTTGACAAAAATGTTGAAGGTGTCGGAGGAAGCTCAAAGTTCGATGCTGCACCAGCCTTGCCAAGTGCTGGCTGTATCGTCAATTGAGCACGTTCTGAACCGTTTGTGGATATTAGTTGTGAGTCAAGCTGGGGCTCTCCGCGCAACGGATCTTGTAAAGCTGCCAGAGCATTCGCTATAGCTTGTCTGGCAAGGTCTAGCTCACATGCTGTGCGACTTTCAACATTCTGTAGCTGCCTCTGATCCAGAGATTTCTGCAACAGCCCCATACAAGCCCAGGCGACTGGAGAAATACAACAACGCCCTATTGACCGATGTCTCTCCTCAATCAGAGTGGCTAACTTTGTAATTTTCTGCCAGTTGCCCTCTGGGCGCTGTATGCCAATACCCGGAAATTCCACGGTTGATGCAGCTGCAATCTCAAGTACGGTAATCGAGGTTATCCAGAGGTTAATCGCTTGAGGTGTCAAGTCCACAACAGCTGTAAGATCACCCAGGGTATTAAGACTCTCCCGGCATGGGTCCATGAGTTCTTGCAGGCTTCTTTGGGTACCTGAGCCCTTCGGTTGGCAAACCAATTTGTTGAGTATAGCCATAGTTTGGAGTAGTTGATTAAAAGTGCTTATGACATGCCCAGGCATGTGGGAGTTTGAGCTTTGGTGATTTCGCTCATCATCTGCATCAATGAGAATCTTGACCTGCCACGGCTCCCACTCCTCATTTCCGTCCGTTAATAGAGTACCCTGTCGGGCGATATCTGACGCTAGGAGATATGGTACGGTATTCAATCGAGATGCAATGATAGTCTCGAGTGTTGCGCATCCTAGGATTGTCCGTTTACCACTGTCAGGGCACGGTGAATTTATGGCTGATGTACTTCGAGGTAGTAACCCAATAGAGACTGATGTATACACAGCGCGTGCTATGGTATTCCACGCCGCCGACCAGAGCTTTTGATCCATTTCAAAGAGACAGATGATGAGAAGGGCGCGGACATGTCCAACATCGTAGTTATTTGGGTTGGCGAACAGAGAGGTCTGTGTCAGATCTCTTGGCGGCTTGACTTCAGATGCGTCTACCGGCTTGTCTCTGGAGGAGTTAGATAAAGCGGTTGATTGGTGTGCTGCGTATGCTAGAACAGCATGAAGAAATGCTCGTTCACCAGAAGTAAGTGAATTGGCAGTAGCTGGTGATGGGCTATAGGATAATGTGTAGGCGCAACGTAAGAGCTCGTGCTTTTGTGAGATGGGGAACCAGCAATGTGTTGTCTCAAAGTAGAGGTCCAGGAGATATGACCAGTTCTTCGGAAGGTCAGGGACAGCAGATGGCATAGACTTTGGAGGTTGTGATACTGTTTCTGGTATGCGGCTAATGCTGGTATGAAGCGTTGGTCCTCCGCAGGGTTGAAGAGGCGAAGACGCTGGAATAGCTGAAGGGGAATGGTCGAAGAGAGGAAGGTCTGGTTGCGTCGTGTTGGTATCCATTGGTGTCATAGGAGCCCCTGTCCCATTCTTTGTCGATACCAGAATCGTAAGACCCTCAACTACTTTTGTGTCGAAAATCTGACTCGAGTCGGTACCTTCTTCGTCAAACTCACTCTCTGTAGAGAGAAGGCTTCCCATTTTCTTAGATACCGAGGACTTATGCCATGTTTCGAGTAGAAGATCGACAGAGATATTGGCGTCGTGGAGACCGGACGCAGTACAGAAGGACGATTGCTGAATAACACCCTCGAGAAGCCCATATATCCACTCTTCGCTCCCTTTTATAGAGTTAAATATTAGTCCCAGCAATGTTTCGATGCCTCTCACATAACCTGGTCGTAGTCCTCGTTTCTTGGAGGGTCCATAGCTACATGTCCGATTATTCTCAATGCATGACTTGCATGACGGACGTTGGCCGCCGCATCGATCTTTGCGTCTCCTGCACTCATTGCATGCTCGAGTAATTCGATGTCGATGACGTCCATTAGGGCCCTTGTCTGAAGTCTCCGTATCGGTCCTTGCTCGTTTTGAAGCTCTTGGACTGGCTTCTGTTTGACCTCTGCTTTTCGTGTCTAGGGAAGTCGTCGACATTGTGGGGCTTGAGAGCTGAAATTATCTTATCCTCTGGACATTGTTTCGTTTCTCGCAACTACCGAGTGGTTGACCCGGCCAGATTTCATTGATCCTCGAATTCATCAGACTCACTCATCACAATGCTCTTACTTGATCCTTTCCTGATCCAGTAAGCGTTGTGCGGGGTGACTGGGGTCTGGCTGAAGCGGCAGAGATTTCTGCCGCCTCTCCTTGATTGGTTGGGAATGGGCCACGGCCACTTGCCTACCCTGGGCGAGTATCAAGGGTCGGCAATATGATTAAACACACTGAAGGCAAAGGCATGGCCGGCCGCTCGGAGAACAGCACCATGGCCTCTTGTGTACACATGACTCTGGCGACGCGAAATTACACATCTTAAGTTTAGTTCTCATGTCTCGACGGGTCTAATCGGTTCCATCGACTCACGCATACAGAGAACCATCGTCAGCCCAAGCAAGTCACAAGCGGAAACCATGGCAGCGTTAACCGCAACAACGCCCCTTGGGCCTTCGAGGATATCAACTCCTACAACACCATTCACAAGGATACGCACACCCGAGCATTCTCAAACCAGAAACAACTATTCATCAAGCGCCTCAATTGCGCTGATTGGCATGCGAGGCAGTGGCATGTCAACCTTGGCAGTCATGGCTTCAAGCGCCTTGGGTTTTCGAATTCTTGATGCAGATCAGTACTTCTACAAAGCTACAGGGCTTTCAAGAGCAGCATACAAGGCGACTAATGGCATCTCTCAATACCGACAAGAGGAGTTGAGACTAATGAGATCTATGCTATTCGACAATCCGACTGGTGCAGTTATCGTATGCGGTCCTGGTGTTGTTGAAGGCACCGGAAAAGAGTGGCTTGCAGAGTATGCCAAGGACCACCTCATTATCTATGTCCTGCGGGACGCCGAAGAGATCCAAAGGCATTTGAGAGTCTTCGACGTGGAAACTATTCGGGATCTCACACGTCGTGCAGCGCCAGCTTACCGAAAACTATCAAGTTTTGAGTTTTACAACATCTCAGATATGTCGCTGTACAAACTGGATACAGCAACCTCACGTGGTGATATATCTCCTAGGGCTCTTGCACTTAAGAAAGTTGAAGAAGACTTTCTGCAGTTGATATACAGCATCACACGACGAAACGAGTGCTATAGCAAGTACAAAGCAAAGAACAGTCTTTCATCCATACCGCTGGAAACGAGAAAGTTCACATATACTTTATCTCTACCACTGGCGACACTCAGCACTCTTATCACCGAGTTTCGCGAACTGGACACTGAAGCAGACGCTCTTGAACTTACAATACCGGCTTCAAGTCTTGGTAATGAGGTTGGCTTCAAAGACACGGCCGTAGATAGAATCAGCAGGCAGTTCTTCGTTGTAAGGAGGAATATCCGACTTCCAATATTATATCATATCGACATCTACGGAAACGAAAGGAAAATCTCAGAGGATGAGTATTTCGAGCTTCTGCATCATGGGCTTCGTCTTGCTCCGGAGTACCTCTGTGTCGATCTTAAATGCGATACAGCAAAGATCCAGAATCTCATTGCATTCAAAGGCCAAACAAAGATCATCGCACACTATGTCGTTTCCGATCTAGCAGAAGATGGTTGGAACTTGCCAAAACAATGGGCCATGATCGAGCGAGCTCAAGGCCTCGGATGTGACATCATCCGCATCTGTCAAGAGGCAAGGTCCGTGGAAGACAACTTCGCCGCCCAGCACTTTATCCATCGAGTCAAATCGTCGCCAGATCATACCATCCCATTAATAGCATATAACACTGGCCGTCTTGGACGGATGTCATGCTATCTCAACCCCATCCTCAGCCCAGTTACACATCCACTGGTCCGAAGGCTGGCCCCAAACTGCCCATCGAATGCTCTGCTTACAGTTCAAGAAGCACAAAAAGCGGTGTTTTCATCCTTTCTACTCGACGGCCAGTATTTCGGTATCTACGGAAACTGCACGTCGAAGAGTCTGTCACCAGCCATGCACAATGCCGCCTTTAAGCTCCTGGGCATGCCACACCGATACAACATCTTTATTCACGAATCGATGGACCAACTGTTCGAGCTCATTAAAGATAACACTTTCGGTGGTGCCAGTATAACTGCCCCATTCAAGACGGCTATAATACCGAAGCTGGACTTCTTGAGCGAAGAGGCCAAGGCGATTGGAGCTGTTAACACGTTGCTATGTCTAAAGACACCTACGATGGACTCTTTACTACACAGAAACACAGCGGGGCCAACGGTAGCGCTTTTTGGCGAGAATACAGATTGGATCGGAATTCATACTTGCGTGCAACGAAATTTGTCTCCTATAAATGCTGTTAGAAGGCGCACCACAGGTCTCATTATTGGTGCTGGAGGTATGGCTCGTGCTGCTGCCTACGCTCTTATTCGCCTTGGGGTGAAAACTATTCTGATTCATAACCGAACTCGATCGAGGGCAGAAAAACTCATCAAGCAATTCGATAGGCAGCATAAAAACGACAGTGGTGAGACTACGGCGAATGACATCGAGATAGAGAGCGGAAGTCATGATCGTCCTTCGTTTAGAATCATCAGTTCGAGAGACGACGCATGGCCCGAAGACATAAACCTTCCAACAATCATCGTTTCATGCGTGGCAACGCGAGAAATCGATGGGCAGTGCTCAGCAGACACTAGTCTCCCAGAACATTGGCTTTCAAGTCCGACTGGCGGCGTCGCAATTGAGGTAAGCATTGACAAGCTACGAAAACATACCGTACCGTGGGATTAGGCTAACATGCATTCACAGCTTTCTTACACACCGCTGGAGACCCCACTGCTCAAGCAGATAAAGTCGTTATCAGAGAAGGGATGGATACCTGTTGATGGTCTGCAGGTCCTACCAGAGCAGGGAATGATGCAGTTCGAGTTATTTACTACAAGACGAGCACCAGCTAATCTGATGAGAGAAGAGGTATTCAGAGCATATAAGGAGCGTCTTGACAGAGAAGCGGATACGTAGGCAGTTAGACAAAGCAATCATATTTAGAAAAACTATATTACTGATATCGGCCTGTGAGCATTGTCAATGACTCTGCGTTCTATCAAAACGTCAATACTCTGTCACTATACGCAGTGAGGCACCGGATGAAATCTGGAAAATGACTTAGCCATTGAACCTCGGGAGTCGCATCCCCGGCCCGACATTATCGGAACAGTATTTTGCCGGCTCGCCGTCGTCATTCTGGTGTTGAGCGACGCCATGTCACCAGTGCATACAGGAGATAAAGTACTACCTAAAATCAACGATATCGTTTTCATCTTTGCTTCATCTAGCCGAAAAATCACACAAAATGCGTTCTTTCCAGCCTGCCATCTTATCTGCCTCGCTCGGACGAGCATGGCTCCACGAGTTCGCCAACAAGGCCAAACAGGCCTCAGAGCATGGCTTCCAAGGCATTGAAATCTTCTACGAAGATCTTGAATATGAAGCAAAAAGACTGCACAGTGTGGAAACTCCCAGCAATGACCAGATTCTTGATGCAGCATCGCATATTCGAGAGTTGCTAGATGGTCTGAAGCTTACAGTCATTGGTCTCCAGCCATTCTTATTCTATGAGGGTCTGAAGGACCGTGAGCAACATGCTCGGCTTATCGAGAAGATCAAATTATGGTTCAAGATCGCCAAGATTTTGGGCACAAACACGATTCAGATTCCTGCAAACTTCCTTCCGGCTGATCAGTTGACGGGAGACATGGATGTCATAGTGGGAGATCTGGTCGAACTAGCTGATCTGGGCATCAAGGAGGATCCTCCGATTCGCTTTGCGTATGAGGCTTTGTGTTGGAGTACTCACGTCGACACGTGGGAGAAGTCCTGGGAAGTGGCCCAGAAGGTCGATAGACCCAATTTTGGCCTCTGCCTCGACACATTCAACATCGCCGGTCGTGTCTGGGGCGACCCAGCCTCTCCAACTGGCAAGACACCTAACGCCGATGAAGATCTCAAAGAGTCCCTAGAAAGACTTGTGAAAGAGGTCACTCTGGACAAGGTGTTCTACATCCAAGTCGTCGATGCTGAAAGGATGGAAACTCCACTTGTCAAAGGACATCCCTTCCATGTTGATGGAAACCCGGCTAGGATGAACTGGTCTCGAAACGCTAGAGCCTATATGTATGAGACTGACCGAGGGGCTTATCTCCCTGTTGAGGATATTGCCAAGGTGTTGATTCACGATATGGGGTATAAAGGATATGTCTCGATGGAGTTGTTTTCACGAACTATGGCTGAGGAGGGAGAGGATGTACCGAAACAGCACGCAGAGAGGGGTATTGCAGCTTGGAAGAAGTTTGTTGAGAGGTTGAGGCTGAACGACATCTAGATATGCAGGAATAGGACCTAACATCGACAGCGATGCATACATATTAGTAAATCTCTAGAATCCGTGAAGGTGCTTTTCAGTCTAGATTGACGCGGCTTTTTAAAGTCTGGTGGCAAGAGACGTTCGTACGTAGATTACTTCGTCTCAATCTGTAAGTATATAAAATCTAGAAGTTGATGCCAGGACTTTTCTCAGCCGAGTCGATAAGAACCTTCCACGCTCCCTCTCTATCAAGCATCTTCACCCTCTCTTTACCAGCCCAAAGCCGCCACTGCTCTTCAATCTGATACCCAATAACATGCGTTCCCTCCACCGTAGGCCAATCCTTCTGCTCCGCCAGTTTGATCATTCTGGTCCGTCTTGGCTTGAAGCACATATCGAGTAGAACTCCCTTCTCAGGACGAGACAGAAACTCTTCCAGGTTGGCTCGAACAGCAAGTTCATCTTGTGTTTTGGGTTCAAAGTCAGGCACCGTACCGACAACGTAGTATGGTGTCTCGAGTTTCTGGGCTTCCCCCTCCTTGACGTGAAGGATGGTCGGAACGGGAGAAAGCTTCTGAGAGTCTCGCATTAAGTCTTTGACTTCTTGCTCATCGCGGTTCAACACATAGATAATTGAAGATTGGAAGTACGAGCTGAGCGCATAAACAGCAGCTCGACTAGCTCCCCCAGCGCCAACGATCAGAGCTGGCTTATTCAGAACGGGCACTCCAGCCTGATCTCCCTTCTCGAGCAAACAGCCCTTGATGCCGCGCCAGTCGGTATTGGTTCCACGTAACTTCTTGGGATCTTCCCAGTCTTGATAGACGTTATTACAAGCGCCAATGGTGGCAGCAAGATCATCTAATGCATCGAGACGAGGAATGATGGCGTTTTTGTAAGGCATTGTTACGACTAGACCTGCCGTGGTGTCTTTTCGCGCAAGATCCATTAGGTCATCGAGAGTGGCACATTCTGTAGCATAGAATGTCCATGGGAGGCCGAGTGATTGAGCAATATGGTTGTGCATTGGCGGAGCGATCGAGTGACCGACTCCAATGCCAACGAGGTGCAAGGTGCGTTGTTCCTGATTTTCAGAAGCCATCTTGAGAATAACCGTTTTCTCCAATTGAATGCCAATGTTTCTTTTGTTGTCTTGCCTGTAGTCTAGTTTATCTATATCATGGTGTTCCCCAGATTTTGGCCGCGGAGTATTCTTCTGCCGCTCTGGGGAACACCACCTCCACTGAGCTAACCCCTCACGACTCCACTGCCGCCTGAACCCGAAGCCCGACTGTCCATGTTTCCGCCACAAGAACTACATACGGGTAAGTTTTATTAAAGACCTCGTTAACAGCAATTGTCTCTTGTTCAAACAAGCGCATCGGAAACAAGAGACAAAGTATAAGGCCCAGAGAGATAAGGTGAGGCGCGTGATAAGCATCTCAGACTTACCTCAAAACAAGAGCATGGTCCAGAATTACAGTATGGAAGAACACTTCGATGACCCTTATTGAGTTTCAGCAGAGTATAGTATTCATCATATCCTCAGAGTGTTAGCCCCTCTTTATGGAAATTCTCTTCGAAACAGCATAACTCGTCCGATAAACAACGCTCTCAACTATATAATAGTAAAAGTTCTGCTCCCCCATTTTCTAACCACTGGTAATTGACAATCTATGTGATATTTATCTCCTGGGAGATTTGCATCGAAGTAACCGAATCTCGAGTGCTCACTGTCGGTACTTTTTCTCAGGACTATTCCCGCTGTGTAGTCGTCGACCTTGACAGCAAGTAACGTGACGGTGGTCCAGTCCGAATCAGGTTCTTCTGCGTCGGGAAGAAACTTGATATGAGCGTTGATGTACATACCACCAGGCACCAAGTACCTCAGGTGATGTCCTCCGGGGCTCATCAAACTCGATGTACTTTTAGTGCGTTTCCACTCCAGGTCCAATGCAGGTCCTGTGACACGAAGTGCGCCGCGCTTGACAGACCCGAAAGGAGCTGATGGTTGATCAAGATCGCATTCAATAGAGTCAACTGATAAGACGTCTTTCCCATGGCCAGCGCCCCATGTCACAGTACTGTTAATAGCCGTCCATGACCAGGATGGTCCTTGATCGCTTGGTCTCAGATACAAGGCTCTAGAACGGTTTTCCCAAAGTAGCGTATCAGGAAAGTCTTTAGCCCACAAACCAGCTGCATATGCCCCTCCGCGCATAGGACTGAAGATCTGTGCCAGGCCCGAAATAGCGAGGATCCTGTCAGTTTGTCTCGTGAGGTTTCGTTGGGTGTACCGCTGAACTAACGAATTCCATTCCCACAAGATGAGATGGTCTTCAGGCTTTGGGTAGTTGGAATCGGGATGAGTGCCAAAGAAGGCAATTGCGTCGAGACGATGTGTGCCTTTGAAGACTGTATTCTCGCTGGACGTCCAAGACCCATTGTAGTTGAAGGGATCACCCTTTTCTCTGTCCAAAGTCCATCCGTCGCAGTTTCCAGCACGCTCCTTTCTGCAAGACCATGTAGTTGTCCATGATCCGATGATCAGCAAGCGGCGAGACATTATATATTCTTGCAATGTCCAACCCCGCGTGTCCAGGACGTTTTGATCTTCCTCCTTTGCTGCCGATTCGAACGTCAATGTACATTGTCTCGTTTTACCATCTTGACTGCAGAAATCCACAGTGGTTGTTCCAGAGGGAAGTGACCTCTCGTGGAGGAAGCCTCTATGAGCGTCTGGGGCTCTTCTAGCCGCAATAGTGAATGCCGCATGGGTATAGACTTGGGTCATCTGGCCAATCTCGATGCTCTTATCGTCCGCTTTGCTGTCTTGGATGATGCAGAGTGAGTCTACCCAGATAAAGCCAATTCCAAGTTTTTGTGACGTCAGAATGGCATCTTGGGTCGTTCTAGGAATCTTGTCCCAAGGAATCTCGGTCCTGTACGAGTCTTTGTTGCTTTCTCTTAGACATGTCTTCAGATCGCCGCCCCAGCAGTAGCTTCAAGCGGTGTACTCGGTGTCTCCATTCAGCGACTTTCCATCAACAAGCCTCACATGAGGAATCTGATTGTTGGTGTCCATCTCGACAATCTTGAGGAGTCGAGTAGGGAAGAATCCTGGACTTGGCCGTGAGCAGATTGTATGAGCTTGAGATTGGCTTGTGTCGCATCTGAGCTTCCAATCTCGAATCGTGGCCGCGGTAATATCAGACAGTGGGTCAGCAACTATAGGCTTTCGAGACAAAAGGTTTTGTCCTCCAGTCCACTCAACGTCTATCATTTGTTAGTGGAGTGATACCATGACTGAGGAGACAAACTTACCTTCATCTGTCGTAATTTCGTAAGACAAGAACTCTACATATGTCTTTCCTTTATGTGCCGGAGCATGAACATATTGGTCCTTAGTTGAAAACTCAAGCTTTCTGTCGCCCGAGAGAGTCTTCTCCAGAGGTATCAGACCATGGAAACGCCAACCGTCAGTGTAGAGTTTCAGATCATGTGAGGTCCACGTCTCTGGGTATCGTTCGCGAAGTTGTGAAGAGAGATACTTCCCCAGGCTGCAGCCATTTTGCGAACCCTCTTCTAGATCATCAAGACGCAAACCAGTAAAACTCATATGAGAAGGGGAGTCCCTGGGGTACTTCGAATCCAACTCTGTATCTATGAAGATTTCTTCTCGTGGTTCGCAGAGCTTGATCTTCCGGCATTGCGAGCAGGTATGACCTCTAAGAAGTAGATCATTCATTTTGGAAGTTGAACGTCAAATAGATGGCTATTCTGAGATATGACGGATCGAGGAACTATTAGTCTGCTTCGTGGGCGCGGGTTTACTAAAACTCAGAACTCATATACCAGGAGCATAGGTAGAAAGTAACAAGGAGAAAGTTTTCAAGTGCAAGCCGTCTGCTTATCTACCTCAGCCTGTAGCTTTTTATGTCGGTCTTTGCATAAAACCATGTAATTATAAGCCAGTAGGATTTAACTGTTAAATATTCGGGCCCATCGCGGCGGCTAGTTCGCGAAATGAGCAAGGGTGTATATGCCTCTAGCAAACAACTAGTCAAAGTTAACACTCGGCGATGCCGAAGTGGATAGCATTAATCTACGACATTGTATAGATGCGTATCCATGAGAATATGCATGCATGCCCAAAGTCTGCGCTTTCACAGTTCTGGTGTATCTGCAAAGGCCCTGTCCCCAGCGCCCCTGTCTCCCCTAACATCAGCCGCGTCCACTAGATCCCTCAAATGCTTCCTTTCCTCATCTGTCAGCTGGATGTCCACAGCACCAGTGTTCTCCTCCAGGTAGTTGATCTTCTTAGTTCCTGGAATCGGGATGATGTCGTCTCCCAGAGAGAGCAGCCAAGCAAGGGTCAATTGACCGGCGGTGCATCCCTTCTGAGCAGCCATCTCCTGGAATTCATCAACCAGTTCCAGGTTCTTGGCAAAGTTCTCACCTTGGTACGGCGGAAACACACGCCTGTGGTCGTCTGGGTCAAAGTTGTCGACTGACTTGTATTGACCTATCAGCATACCACGGCCGAGTGGAGAGTAGGCCACGATAGCCACGCCTAGCTCACGCGCTGTTTGCAGCAGAAATGTGCCCGAGTGCCCTTCAATATCCAGAGTCCAGGGATTGTACTCGACCTGTACAGCTTGAACTGGATGCACTTTGTACGCGCTGCGTAGGGAGTCAGAGGAGCATTCAGAGAGGCCAATGTATTTAATCTTTCCCTCGCTATTACCACATTGTTAGCCTTTAAAGCTGGTCCCATGGTATCACCGAAAATCATTAGAAACTCACCTTTTCAGCTTGACTAGCTCCTCCATGGTCTTTTCAATCGGGGTTTTGCCGTCCGGACGGTGAACATAATACAAGTCGATACAATCTAACCCAAGTCTCTTCAAGCTCCGCTCGCATGGAGGATGGACGGACTCTCTTATAGTAGTATCATAAACCGCTCTTCATGAAGTTTGAGTACTTAGCAAAACTAAACCATCTTCGGCTCGTGTTCTCAAGCACTTAATCATATATTTAAAGAATAGAAGAGTCCTCAAGTCTCGGCGAAGTAGACCCCAGACATGATGTGATGATCGCTTGCGTGCCTCATGAGACCAACTGTGATGATAGAGAGAGGACAATGAAAAGAAAATAATGATGGAAGTCAAAAGAAGAGGGAATTCGAAATGTCGGATAGCCCCTCCAACCCAAGCATCGATCAGGCTATTGCCGATAGTCTGGGCTTGAGTAAAGTGCAGGTTGGGCGAGCAACAGGCTTGAACAAGTCTTACGTGTTCCCCGATGTGCTCATATATGAGAAGACTACGGCTTTAATAATAAAACTTCCATACAGTAAAATTGCTTGTTTACTGCCCAAAACCCGGTGTACTACAGTTAGGCCCCTCAAGAGCACAATAGTCGGGTACAGTGCATTAAAATTGATGTCCAAGGAGATCGCATTGCCAAAAGATTGCTGATGACGTGAGTTAAGGGTGCCATATTAGGTACTGCAACTGCTGAGTCTGCCCAACGAAACACCTAGACAAACCCCTGTTCCAGACCTACCAGCTGCAGGAACCAAGAACTTCAACCTATGTCACGGCCCGACCTGAACTGCCAAGTATCAATGAGTCAATCAAAAGGATATAATAGTTTGCCCATGAAAAAGAAATATTATTTACCGGTCATAGTTTAGAACCAGTTTAACGAAACGCCCTACAGATGGTCTGTATATTTGTTGCCAAGCCACTGAGAATTACAGGTACACCTTGCATGACAATGACGGAATAAATCTCCACTATTTCAAGTTTTGTGGCCTGTTAGTGCAGCAGCTATTTTGTCACAGTACCTGCTTTGAGGCCTTCCAGGTAGTGGCTAGGCCAATAAGATTTCACTGAGATACAGCCAATCTGCCAATTAGAAGTGGTATACACAGCTGTGCTGTTTGGGCCTCACTCGGGTACAATGAAGAAAACTACGTTGTAGAGCTAATTTAATCTATATATCTTTGGCGAAAGGCATTGTATCTGCCTCGTAAATATTCAGGAACTACCGCGACATTTATATGAGGATTTATTCCTGAACAAAACCATGTGCGACGACCGATCCTTTAACAGGCTTCCAATGAGGCAGCGGCCTCAATCTCACCACACAAATCTCGCCCTGCCTTTGAGGGGCGCTAGAAACTACAGGGCGAGCGATTACCAAAGCCCTGTCGCCAATCGATATAGTGAAGCTGTAGGCCAGTGTGCCACACTCACATCAGACGAATGGCAAGGTTCAACAACTGAGGCCAATCCTCACCATCGAAATTCTTGTTGGTATCCTGCACCTGCGTACGATCACCTGAAACTGGAGCTACTGCAGCTATCGACAGACTTGTTTAGGCGATGGATGCCTGGGGTAGAGTACATCGCGCCACCAGAAGACAGGTTGCAGCCCCAGGAACGATTCAGGACACCTCATCGCTATTCAGGCAGGCGGCGAGTGAAGCAGGAAGACGACATTGATGATGAGAAGTTCGTTTTTGTTTCATATGCACCCCGCACTAGGGCATTCTTTCATTTTGCTTGTCCCTTCTACATCTACGACCCAGAAAAGCACCAACAATGCCTCCTCACAGACGGCCTCAAGTCAATCGAGGGTGTTATTGAGCACGTCATGAAACACCACTCCCGATCACCGTATTGTTCAAGATGCTATCAGAAGTTCAACTCGCTGATTGATCGCGATGATCACATTTTGAGCGGTAGATGCAAAAAGCGCTACCCAGACCCAACGGATGGGGTCAATGAAGACCAAAAGGCCTTAATGATAAGAGCCAATGATCAGTACTTGAGTGAAAAGAGGCGCTGGAATCGTATGTGGTCCATTATCTTTCCGGCTACGGAGTGGCCTCGGTCTCCATATCTGGATCGGGGCCTTGGGCTCAAGACATCAATGGCACGGGACTTCTGGGGTTTATATGGTGTGCAACTTGTCTCGGAGATTGTCGAGCATCAGAAGCTGCCCGATACTCAAGAGAGTAACGCTCATAGTGCACTCTACGAGTTAGGGTTGCAAGATTTGTTGAACATCGTTATTCAAGAGTAGGACTATCTAGAGCATGGGCTAGATTTCAAGTTATGGATTGAGGACGTACTTATGGAGGAATTCCTGGCTTCAAAATGATTGATCCACATGGGCATAGACAAAAACTAGAATTGTTCCGAACTTGGATTTCCTTGACGAAGGATATTTAGATCAAAGGTTCTCACGACTACAGTCTATTTACATAGGCTCAATAAATAACACCAGAAACATAACCACTTGTCCATTAGATTTATCAACATTTTGCAAAGCTGCCACCTTAAATAAAAGTTAGAAAAGGTAAACATATAATAAGCTGCATGAACTCATAAGAACAAAGCAAATCTCTCCTAACAGACTTGGTAGATAAAATTGGTCTCTAAAGATAATAAATAGTACCAAAAGAAAACAAAGAAACGGAATAGAGAATAAATCTTTTAGTTTCGATTGAGCCTTGCGGCTCCAAGCTTGACTCCAGTCTCTTCAAGTTTTCTAGAGTTTGAAACCTCCATGGTTAGTAAAGGATCATAGGCCACGCTGTGCATACTACAATCAATATTGTGAGCCGCAGCGACCCACAGTATCACCGTCTGGGTTCAAATAGTCGTCGTCTTGACTTGCCGACTCGAAAGAAGCAGTGGAATATCCAACACAAGGAGCAGTAGAATATCCAGAGTCAACAATGTTGTGCTCATAAGTCGTATATACCCCAAAGCCCGAAATTGGAATTGGTGCACTGTTAGTAGTAAACGTATTATTCCGATGAAAGGAATTGTCGCCCTGACTCGCATTCGGTGTTCCAAAGACACCAGTATTATACGAGTCAGAGTCGTTTTCGAAACCTTGCGGTCGGCGAAAGAGTTGGAAAGGTTGAGAGGAAGACGCCCGATTGGGAGGCGTGTAATTTAAGACCCTGTGGGTTGGTTCTGGGGCTCGCTGCGCAGCATTCGGCCGGGCCCGTGGGGGCACAGGGGGTACGGAGGGGTTCCTCTGGGGTTCCGATGCGGGCGATGAAGTGGTGTAGATTCTCTCCGTAGATCGTCTAGCAATCGATCGGACCTCTGCTGACGATAGGCGTTGTACTGATCGAAGTTCATCTTCAATCATCAATTGTACCTGCGGACGTGGAAGAATAATCTCCACGTACGGCGATAGTGGACGGAGTTTCCCTGGAAAACACCTGTCCCAGATAATGTACCATCTAAAGGTTTCACTATGCCGCGGGTATAAACCAAGCTCTGATTTCAGCTCTTGGAGCTCTCGGGGTAGCATGACACCGGATTGCTCGATATTGGTTATCTGACACGGGATTTCCTCAGTCAAGTGCCTTCGGCGCCTCCGCTCAGCACCCATACCATGAAAAAGACACCGGCATCTTGCACAATAGAGAATAATATCCTCTGGCTGACATCTTTCAGACTCTAATCTCACTTCCTCTAACAGGTGTTGGCGCTTGATGTGTTGAATGACATCGGATAGACGTTTTAATCGGCGGCCCCTGCACTCCTCATACCGGCGCGGATCTAATTTGCAGAATGGACATTCGAATGACAATACCGGCACCTTTGTATCTGGATATTTGTGGCCATCTCGTTCATCTCCTTCACCATCCTCTTCCTCGTTCTGGCCACTGTTGCTTGTTTCCAGGTCTTGGTAGCGGGGACGCTTGTTAGCCCTGCGGCTAGGTTGAGGCGGTTGGTCTGGGGGCTGTGTTTCAACAAATGATTCGCCAGCGACTCGGCGGGGCTCACTGTTCCCCAAGTTCATCTTGGCAAATTTGTTGGAGAGAACATCTGGACGTAAGAATGGTGCTTCAGTAATCAAATGAGGGTAAAATGATTTGTAGAGATCAAGTTTCGTAGCCATTGAGTGAAAGGTAAAAACGGCCCCTGGTGCACTTAAGACGGGATTCAGTTAAGTGCAGGAGCCGCAACTACAGATAAGAGACGGTGGATGTCATGCGAGAGCATGCTTGAGGCCACACTTTAACTAACACATTGTCACTAATTCCTTAGGCACTGATTCAGTTAGGTATCAAGGCTTTTGCTCAGTTTCCTCAGGTTTCTCATCTGAATGCGCGTAGCTGCATGTCTTCCAACACAAATGCGAACGGGCAATTAAACGTTGCTTCTGGTTGGAGATTTTATCCTTGAATTCGAGGCCGTTAAATATTGATTGGCGATGGAGTGACCAAAACTAGGTTCTGTCTTGCTTTGTCACCGCCAGTTGGCCCCTAATAACCCCACTAAAGATACCTGCAGTTGCCAACGCACGCAGCGCGCTGAGGAGCCACGTCAATCCCTCAGCCAGGCCTCTCGTCAGGCCTCGCCCACAGTTGAGGAGTCCTAGGAAATATACTCGACGCTGATATGCTGGCCATGAAGGTGACGAAGATGTTGCAGCGAGGCTGCGATGCGCTTTGCAAGAATCATTCATTCATGATCACTTGGAGTATCAGCTGCGTAACTTCACTTCGCCAATGGCTGTTCTTGCTGTGCTGTTTCCAGATACTTAGTGTTTACAGCATATGGCCAATTATCTCAAAATGATATCCGCGATCGTGTATGAAGCCATCAACTGCGAGAAAAGCCAACACAATCGTGCAAGACGTTGAGTTTATATATTTTGCTGCTGTCTGCAAGCTTCCAAAAGACACTCTACCGGACATGAGCTTCGGTTAAGTAAAAACCATGGCTTCTTCCGCACCAAACCCTAAAAGGTCTGTTTTAATCGTCGATCGTTGATATACAGCGCATGCTGATAATGCCGTTCCTGCAGCCCCTTGAGCCAATCTGGTGCCATCAAAGAATACAATGACCGCATCCAAGACTGGCTGCTAGACCCAGGCTTAGATATCCAGGGTAGGCTGTTGGCTGGTGGCCACCTCACCGTGCAGCCTCAGCCTCCAAAGGGAAAGGACGCGCCAACGAAGCCATCACCCAAGGCACACATTTAGGTTGTCGACGCCTCTTTCAACCTCATTTCACGTGCTGCGCCTTGAACCCGGTTATTTGTTAGCTTCTGTCAGCGAATTGCGGCTGGTGGGCAAAGGTGGTAATAGAGACGAAGTGAGGAACCTGGTTGGTGTCATGGATCAATGGGGTAATACAGGCCTTAGGTTTGCTTACGGGTCGGTTGGTTCGGTCACTTCACCCCACGTACAAGGAGAAATGTGGAAAAGCCGTCACACATGGATTCAGTTTATTTGATTTGGCGTATTCCTACCCCCATCTTACTTATGGATTGCCAGCACATCGTCCGCATTTGTGTGACATACTCCCCCGTGCTCACACATCTAGTTTAGCTTGCCAATGAAAGCAAGGCGAGCTGAACCAATGGCTCTGATCCGGATGGCCAGATTATCAAACTCCAAACCACCGTGTACCCAATTGAGAATAGTGACACTGGTTTCCTACCATTACCCCTCACACCAATATGTAGAATCCGGGTAGATTTGTCTCACAGCCCCCGTGGCTAACTGCCTTGCGTGTGCAGCACTTAAACTTCTTTACTCCGCCTTGAGGCTCAAATAATTTCACCCGCTCTTTCAAGCTGATACTTCGACTTTCCATACCGACGTTCTCCAAACGAAGGTGTTCAAAGGATTTCGAAACGATAATGCAGGAAATTTCTATACATGAGTACATAAGGGCCAAGACAGCAACCGAAAGTCATGCGACAAGTTCAAAATCTAATTTGCAATTTAATAAACGAATCTCACAATGCCCTTATGGAAGGCCTATTTCACCAGCACCTCCAAGATCAGAAAGCTCTGGGGCTTACTCACAAAAACCAAGTAAGAAAGGCTTTTTGGATCTGTGAACGATGCAAGGCTGATATGCATTTCTTTCCTAGTACCTGACAAAGACCTGCTGGATGACTTTCTGACGAGGGCTTTCAAAGACAAAGCAGTCTCATCTCAGGCTCTATCACTGAACGGAATGGTCCTCAAGGGAGGCAAACTCTCTCAACGACCAGATACTCCAATCCCAGTTACACGAAATCCAGGGACTCGAGCGGGACCATCATTGAATGCTCTCCGACTTCCCTCGAACATATCTAGCAATCAGTTTGTAAAAGAAGAAGAGAAGCAAAGCCCGCAGTTTCCATCCCGCAGTACGACCCCCAGCAAAAGGAGACGTACAGCTGGATTCGGCGATGATCTTTACGACCTGGATGAAGATGGTGATCAAAGCCCCAACGACAGCATCAAGAGATTCGCTTGCCCTTACTTCCGAAAGAATCCCGAACGCCATCTGGAATGTATCAACCTCAAGATGGTCCGTATCTCCGACGTGAAGCAGCATTTGAAGAGAAGGCATACAGCGCCTTACCCCTGTCCAATATGCTCTGAGGGGTTCTTATCGCTGAACTTGCAAGGAAATCATATTTTGCAACAGACCTGCTCCCCAGGATCTGGAGCGAACTGGGATAGTGTTTCGTTGGCTTCTCAGAAGGCCCTCCAGGCTCGCTTCGGGAAGAACCTTTCGCCAGAGGCACAGTGGTACGGGATTTGGAAGATTCTGTTTGGAACACCCCGTAACATGCCGAAGCCACATCTGGATGGCGTCGTTAAAGAGGTTATAGGGATTCTACGCGGAATTTGGCTGGATGAGGGCCGACGACTGATTTCTGAGTTCGTAGAGGCAAAAGACCAGCCGCCCAGCTATAATGATCAACTGTACCGATTACTTGCGGGGATTCTGGATGAGGTGGAGGCTCGCTTTGAACAAAAGCCTTCAGAAAGGATTTCCAGAAAAACATCTGTTGGGTCGGAACGAGGCCCCGAGGAGTCGACAGGAGTGCAGTTGGACACCATCTTTGATCCCACTACGACAGAGGATCCATTTCCAACAGATGGCAGAGGAGGGTGCGTTCCATCTTACAATACTGCGATCTTGCCTGTCAACTTCTCAGCTACGGCATCAGAGGTCTCTGAAGTTTCCTATCAAGCATCAGAGTTCAGCTTCCCTGGAACGCAGCTGCTCCAGACCCAATATTCTTATCCTGATAATCCCATACCGGAGTTCGACTTTTGGGATTGCAATCAGCAGCAACCTATTCCTATGGACGGAGCTATGTTGTGAAATACGAACAACCTTTCAGTTAGCCTAATTGACAGTACTACAGACCTTTAGATTTAACCTTTACTTCACAATCGTCATATCGGCTTGGGAGAGGTAGATATTTCAAAGGGAGCTTGGTGCATCATATGGATTACTGATGGAACGCCTCAGTACCAAGAAGTGAGAAGGGTCCCAGTAATACAGGATTCTGTTAACAGAACGCACTATATAACAGTCAACAGGTTGTTCAACTAAGCCTGTGAAATGAAGACTTCAATGACTTGCATGAACCATTACATGGCGTCATTTGACCAATACCTGACTCCTTATAAGCAAGGCAGCCCGACATTTCCTTTAATAAACCTCCTGCTACCGCAGCAGTTCGAGTGCACGTCACACGAATTTGACCCCATCGGATTTCAAAATTGGCAAGGCTCGCACAGCTGAGGCATGGGCCCGAAGACGGAAACCCTTTTTTCGCTGCTCTACGCATATTAATCAACTCGTAATACCGTTCGGACCTTGCCATCCGGGATCTGATCGCCGGTATTCTTCCACGATACATGACAGTCTAGCCTCAATTGGGGTTGTCAGATGCTAAAGGAATGGTATTTGTATGTTGGTCAGAATAGCTGCGTCTCGTACTGAACAGCGCAACGGCCCCTGGAATTCAGGGATGTCTTTCAACAGTCACTTTGTTAGCACGATTCCGAATCGTCTCTAGCGTTATTTGGTATATGCTTGAGGGACTTTTGATACGCAGACCAACGGACCAACAGGAACTTTTGGGTCACATGGTACCTTCCTAAAAGATTACTACATCTCAGCCGCAGTGATGTTATAGCGAAATGAAAATCGCTAACACATAAACGAGGATAATTCTAGAATGGAGACAAGATTGGAGGCTGTTCTCAAGATCTCATTGCGTCAGATCTACTACCAAGAGACCCCATGCCCCGGTTACCTGGGCTGGGGCGAGCCGATGGGGCCCGTGATGACACTGTGCCGCATTCCGACCGCGGTGACTTCCAGATACGGTAGTTTAGTTGGTCCGTACATAGGAGTCTCTTATCTACGGACTGCACAGCCCGTATGACTACTTCTACTATTACTACATGCTTCACTTGCATCACTGCAGCGGCTCCTTTGCTCCAAATCTTCAAGTAGCGCCGTCGCCACTTGCATCAACTCGCTAGAATATGGAGGACAAACTGGCAGCAAGTGCTCCTTGAAGTCTCTGAAATGCCAGAATACTAACCATTCGATTAACCAACTCCAGGCCCAAGATGTCGCAGACCGACAACTCGTGGTTGATAACATGTCCCTGCGCGATATACAAAGGTCGATGAAAAGGGATCCGGAAGGACATGGCATAAGTGCACTGGGCTACGATGGTGTGCTTCGTACTTTCGACGCCGAACGGAATATCCTTGATGCAATTGGCCTAAACCCAACCCATATCAGAGAGTATTACGATGGTCTACCAATGCCTGAGAGATTCCTCACCGCCGATGGCCGTAATGTGTCTCGTAGGGATATGTTCCACCCAGATGCAGAGAACATACCCAGGAAGACTACAGAGGAGGATAGAGCCAGAACTCGGGCATATAACGAGGAGCTGAAAAGGCGCGGAGTCTCATGCTGTGTTGCGAGCAAGTCAACAGATGGCGTTAAACCGAACACTACATAGCTTGTTTTGACTTTCATCGTTCCGTATTTTATCCCCTGTTGTGCTCTTTCCTGTGCGATTTCCTTGTGACGCCGCGCGTCATGTGTGATTCATTTAGTCTCTAAAGCTATTTGCAACAACGTCATGCCAGTGAAGCGATGCCGGGCTAAAGTTCGTGTCAAGCCTCTTCCGTCGTATTGCGGGTTTCACGTTCCTCAAATTGCAGGAGAGGGTTGCATTCTGGGTGCTGCCTAAAATCGAGTAATGAAAGTTTCTCCTTTGTCTTATCTCTTGTGGGTGAGAAGCAGGTCAGGCCCACCGTCAATGAAATAATCAGACATGCACTCAACATGAATCAAGAGAGACGAGAGCAGATCACAGCCGCTCTTCGCCAGTATCGTGAAACGGTATTGCAGCACAATTTGTTCTTGCTTCGCACCCTAGTAGAAAAGGTCGAAGCCCAGCCTGCTCTGCCGAACTGTCCAGAATCCGTCGCACAGGCAGTGCGAATGCAAGCTATCGATGAACTCATAGAGGTTCCTGAGTCTATAAAATCGCCACGAGATGTCCTTGATCAGAGTGCTATCTCTTCATTGATCTCGTCGGCCTCGCTGGAAGGTGTGGATGACGACCCAGTCGACCCCTCGCTAAGAAGAGAATACTTCGCCGGCCTCGAGGCGAAGATTGAAGAGAGGGGAGTGGAGGTTGCCGAATTTCCGCCGTCAGATTTGGAGTACCTCTGCACACTTGTTAGTGGCATAACAGGTCCGGGACTTCCATTCCATTGAGAAGCATCTCAGTTCGACTTCATCACCCCTCTCCGAAGCGAAAAGATGAAGGACATGATGGAGGCTGTCGGTGTACCAGTACGGAATGATGCAGGAGAAGGGGAACACAATCAACTCACGTGGCTCTGGGAGGAATGGGAGATTGCCATAGCGTTCAAGATTGGTGGTGGTCCCCGCGGTTAGGGTGGCTCATACGCCCTGTACTACAAGAATGAGTACAGAGAGCAGTGGAAATGGAGATATGGAGTTCATGATGAAGAGTGGTATAGCGATGTATGTGAGAATGTCGAGGGACTTTTCGGCTTCTATGCTCACTTTAATGAGCAACCTGAGGAAGAGCTCGAGGATGACATAACTAGCTTGTCAGCACTCGTATGATGACTGTAGGTGGACAAAGTTCCACGATTCTAACAAGGACAATACCCTGCTGCCCCTAGAACAAGCTTTCCACTAAGCAATATAAGCTTTTCGCTCCTAATAATGATAAATACCTATACCTATTAGTGACCCGTTATAGTAGGTAGAATTATATAGCCCTTACTCCCTTGTCTACTAAACTATCCAGTATTACTAAAACCTAACCTTATATTACTTTCTATAGCCCCCTGATTTATTAACTATACTTCCAAATCTATACCTAGAATTATTTTAGGCTTATTATTAATTGCCTAAGGTTAAAGAGAAAGAGAAAGAAAGCAGTGGTAGGAAGATTATAATAGAGGATGACCTAGAGCTTACTTGGGAATGCCGCTAAGGATGCACCCCTGTAGTTGAGCTGAAGACGGACCGCTAGCGGATCTATTGGCGAGGCTATTGGCATGGCTTGCAATTGTCCTCTACCCCACCACCCTGAAATGAATAAAGTTTAGATGACCGTGGGCCACTAAGAACGGGTGTGAACCTGAACGGACATATTTTTAGATTCCCCCGCATAACAGCTTTACTTGGCCACGAATTTAGATACCCTCTTCTCGACCATAAACATTTGCCTATTAGAGGCAATACAACCTATGGACTTCCCGGAAGCGCTAGGAGGGTCTGGCTAAACAATGGAAAGCTTTAACGCCAAGTTGTCTTTCTTAGCACGTTAGGTTTAAAGCACTAAACTTGCCAACCTTCGTCAATCTCTTCCCCTCGACACTAAGATCTCACTCCCATATTAAGGCTGGCAACGATCAAGGATCTCAAGCCCCGGTACCAGGTTCAGTCAGGCACAAAGACCAACATTTCTCAGACCGCGATGTCGATGACTTGATACTTTTACTAAGTGGCTTCTCCATTGTGGCAAGGCGGCTCAACGTGGTATCACCGGAAAATGTAACGGCTAGTCTCGATTTAGTGCAAGCCATGGTTATTCCCGTGATGGTCAGTGCTAGTGGGACGAGAGGCTCTCGACCGTTTGATTGCCGTTCTCGTCTTAGGCGCTGCAAGAGCTTCTCACCAAACATTACCCAACTTGGGTCTACACAGAGGAGAGCCCGCGATCTACAATGCCCGGAGCTTTTCAATGATCTCACAAAAGTATGGGGCAAACGAGAGTTTTTGCAGGTCCAAATAGCCTCGTTTGGACAGCTAGAGTTGACTAAATACTATGTACGACCATCTTCTGTCACATCGGCCAAGCCCATCATCCCAATCCATCATTCAAAAGGAGTGTGAGAAACGAAAGTAGTTGCAGCTAACAAGCGTAGGTACAAGACTCTGGTAGTATGTACAAGACACTCTCTTACTCCTTGATGGACTTGTAGCCGCCGCGCTTGCCACCCTTTCCGCCCTTGTAGATGTTGATGTTGATGGTTACGGGCGCATTGAAGTCAATTTCACCAATGCACATTTAGAACAAGACAATTGTGAATATAACGCACAAGAGTTGGGTATATGGTACTTACGCCGCTGTTGTTGTTGCAGCAAATGACCTTTGCATTGCAAATCTCTGAGTTGGAGCAGGTTTGAACTGCAGGTTGTTAGGTCAGTAGCAAGGTCAAGGGAGGAACAGGGAATCTTACCGCTGTCAGCGCTGGTAGTGCATCGTAGCGAGATAGTCCGAACTCAGAACCGCTCGCTGAGATGGGTGTTATAAAAGATTATAGAAATATAATGCTGGCCGTCTTACATCGCCTAGTATATTAAGCGTTATATATCCTATTAATAGCAAGTTATATAGCATGCTATAGAACCCTAGACTTCAAGAGATAGTAGTTAATAATGTTAGGCAGATTCACTGTAGATTGAATAAAAGCTCGAGAAACTTTTTTTATTTCTCATCATTTTCCCATAGAACTAAACATATCCCCTGATAAAGCATAAAAGGAGCGTGGGTGGTTGGGATAAGGTTAGCCTGGCTAGAGCTATCCCCTTACTCGAACCGAAGAAAGAAATAATCCAACTGTCATCCATACCCCTCGTCAATTTGATAACCCCTCCATTCCATTGGAAATACCCTGAATGCCGGAGACTGTTAATAATACGCCGCCCACTCTAGTTACAGAGGGCTGCCATTATTCATGTCGGGTTCCAGAGAAGGAGTTTAGTCAAAGATAACCTTCTGGTTGCCGAAGGCAGAGCACTTCTGCGACTGGTGATTGTTGTTCTACATTCAGTTAGCGTAGTTCTTCTAAGATCACTTGCTCTTCACATACTCCTTGGGCATTTTGGGCGCAGCAAACAATGGTGCTCTGGACGTTGCAGCTGTTGATGTTCTTGTTGCACTGGTAGTGGCTGAAAAGGCCTCCGTCAGAGTACTCAGGGGAACAGCAGTAAGCAGAACCGCCAGTGCAGGTGACGGTCTGCGTGTTGGTGTTGCGGTCACCACGGTCACCACCACGGTCACCACGGTCACCACCACGGCCACCACCAGGAGCAGCAAGAGCACCGGTGGCGGCGACGAGAAGAGCGACGATGGAGAATTGCATTTTGGTGGTTAAAAAGTGTTGAGATCTCAAAAAGAGAGTATTGAAGAGAAGAGTAGATTGAAGTCTGTTTGGCTGAGTTGTGAAGATGAGTGAGTGATGAGGATAGATGGTTAAAGGGGGAAGAAGGCCCCCTTTATATATCCTTTCCTGCCCTATTAGTTCTCATGAGTCTTTGTCATTTTTTCTTAACAACCTAACCACAATCTCGCCTCTAGACGCTTTATTCGGCATCTCAGATGGAAATTGAAGCTATTGAACTCTTTTGAGGCCCTTACGCCATCATGAACACGTACATGATGCTGCCAAAGAGTGAATTGGTGTCACTGAACTCAATAAGCGTCCCACCACTCGTCGAATAACTAGAAAAAATGACTTGAGGCTGACTTGAGGCTGACTTGAGGCTGAATCTAGGCGTGGTCTAGGTGGGTCCAGGCCGGTAGACTTTGAGGCCGGAAGGATGGGCTGTTGTCACGTCTGAGGTGAGAAGCGGGCCCGGTGGTCCTGTTTACCCTCCTAGTGAACACGTTTGTCAAGGTATTAAACTTCGATACAACAGAAACTATCCCGAGCTCGTCCAGTCTATATTTAGGCCTACCGACAGGCCGACCGACAGGCCGAAGAACTTACGGTTATCTGTTACATCTTGGCTCACCGTAGGTTCCTACAAGCAGCTGTAAGCACCAATATAATTGTTATAATAGCAATTATAGCCCAGTCTTATGACCTGTAGCATGATGTTTAGGTGCGACTGTTATATCATAATTTCTATAAGCGGGCGGAGGTTGATAATTTGAATCCCTTTAGCATAGCTGCTCACAAGCCTGCCTTTGGCATGCGCATAAGCGCAACTGTGAGGCATGCGTTTGAGGGGTGGTAGCTGCAATCGCAGGTACGGGGCTTGGTTACCCTTCTTCCGCAGCAAAGCCACACCGGAGGGGGAGCATCGTGTCACGGCTTGGTTCGCCGTAGGTTTCTATCTCCTGAGAGCCCATAATGCTGCAATTCGTACCAGTCCACCTTTTCTCTGCTATTGCTCGTGTTTGTTCTCAATTAGCTGCAACCCCTCCCGGTACTGCGTCGTAGCCATATGTGGTCTCCGGAGATAGTCCAATCTTTTGCCCTGTGGCGTGATGGCTGGGTGCCACCATGTTATCTGAGCGTCAAATTCAAGCGCAAGGCAGCGAACAGACTTAGCACGGGCGATGTTCCGACTGACCAAGATCTGAGGGTCATTACCATATTGTTAAGTCACCACGCATGTGCATCTTAGCTGAACATGAAGAATAAGGTTGATCGCCCATTCACGGGCAACTTCCGGAAATTAAGGGACGTTGATTGGAGAAGAGATATAAAGTTATAAATAGTAGAAATATTAAGTGCGTAGCTATTTACATTCTGTTGGGAATGAGGAGTGGTCATAGCTAGCCACATAATTAATTAAACTTATGTCATATATAGTCATATGTGACGGTAGGTAAATGCTCAATGTTTCAAGGGGCTGATTTACCTTTTGGGCCGTTGTTGTTAGTCTGCCATCGAGTACCGAATTCGAGGCTAAGGAAAGAGTTCTGCACAAATACCGGCCTCCATCTCGTTTATCCTGTCCACCTTTCAACATCTCGATCACTCTAGATCTCGCCGTCCGCTCGTTACAGAAGCACTTTGTCTCGTTCTTTTACCCTCCATTCATCCTCCACTGCCTCTCTTCACTCCCTTGCGCTAGCACTAAACATCAATCATGCACGCTTCCACTATCCTCTACGGGCTCGTTTTCCTGCAGGGCGCCATGGCGTCTCCGGTTGGTAACGTAGCTGCTGCTGACGTTGAACCTCGGGCCACCGAGCCTGAAGGCCTTGAAACTCGAGATATCGAGCGTAGGGCCCCGGCTCTTGGGGACATGCCCTTCCCAGCCTTCCCATCCCTCAAAAAAAGTAAGTCGGGAATGAAAAGATTTGGGTGTTCAATCTAACAGGAGATCTCGCCTGAAGAAGGCCAGAGCGGTGGCAGCAAAGATTGCTCGTCGAATGACCAGACAGCGGTCTGCTCTTCGGGAAGCGCATACTGCTGTAGCCCTGATGGAAACGGTGGTAGGTAATCCGAATCCCCATTTTACCACTCGAGGAGTCTTAAATATCCTACAGGTACCAAGTGTGCTATCTCGGACTCTTGCAACACCGATTCAAAGATCATTTGCTGCAACAATAACAGCGGGGTAAGTGGCAGCCTCCCATCCCCAATTCAAGACTTACAAATTACCTAGTATCAAATGTGCATTGGTGAGATCGACTTTAACATGCCCGTCACCATCAATATCAACATCTACAAGGGCGGGAAGGGCAAGAATGGCGGGAAGTAGAAGCCTTGTTCGTGTTGTCTGGAAGGCGATGCCTCAATATAAAACCGGGTCTGTCGGTGTAACTGACAGGGCTAGGCTGCCCGCTACCTTCGTTTCTCACATTCTTTTATCTTATTGAAGACGCTGGAGGGTGGAGTCGTTCCTTTCGAATTGTTGTAGTTTATGCAGTAAATGAATACCACCCTCTTCTACCTTGTTTATAAAGCACACTGCCACGATCATGCACGACCACGTTATCGGATCTGTAGGCGATGACGGAGGCCAACGGATCTCGGCTTGAATCAAGCTAGCGGAACCCGTCTTCCAAACCTCTAAAGCTGAAATGTGAGACTCACCTCGAATTGCGGCGTTGCTGGCGACTTGAACGAGAGGTCGGAAGCCCGGCGAGTCACAACTCAACTGCCCCCTTGTAACTGTGCCAGTAGCCCCGGCAGACCGGGTAGGGATTCGTGGGGCTGGTGTGCCGTTGCTGTGTCTCGGGAAGCTCCATCCGCGCCGTTCCTTCTCGTGTTCTCAGCTGCCGAGTGCCCAATCGGATTGTGGGTTCTGAGATCTACCAAGAATTGATTGGAGAGTTTCCTGCCACTGGGCGGCTCCATAGTATTGGGAGGAAACCAAGCACTAGGCAGGACCAAATTCTCCGGATAGAGTCCCCAGACCGATGTATGGCTACCTCCAGCACATAGATTATTGAACTTCATGGCGGCTCCCCGTTAACCCTTTGCCTAGGCTGTATCCACAAGTGGCCTATGTCCAGGAACGGGTGGCCAGCTCAACACCTTGGTAGCAGCCCATATCATACTCCAAGGGGTAACCTGTCCAAGGTCTAAACAGGCTTCCCACGAGTCGCAGAGACGGATTTCATAATAGACTTGTTATATGGGAGAATTGGAGTGGTCAGAGATGGCAAGCTCAAGTTGGAACAGCGACAGTACCCAGGCATGGTGGCGAATATTTGATAGGTCCAAAGTCGACCGCAGAAACGGGGCCTAGCGGCCCTTATTGATTGTTTATTTTCCGTCGGCATTAATGGTGGGCCGGGCCTTCACACCCCTATATCGGACCATCGGCATCGACCCTCGGACCGCTGATTCGAGAGCTGAGCAGTTACATTTGGGGCGGCCGCTAGGGTCTGAGGGCCTACACGCACCTGAGATAGTGGTTATGGGGATTGTCAATGCGTAGATGGATCAGCGCGCTAGTCTCAGATTGATCGTCACGTCTAGACTCTAATAAATATGTATTAGTGACGTTTACTATGCAATCAAGCTGTAATTATTTCCAAAAGGAGCAGAACTCTGTAAAGAATAAGCTATTCCTAAATGTCTAGTTCATTTGAGAAAAGAGCCGAGAAGTGTCGTTGTGGGGGATCTAAAAGTATCTTGAGTGTAGGTTCAACAACGACGTTGACGGTAGTGGAAAGGAACACCCGCTTTTAGTACGCCCAACGGTGATCATTTCGGGTATGATCAGGGCCCAAATTGAAAAAACGGCCAGTAATTCCTCGCCACAGATTTGGTGGCGGGGGTTGATGCGACAAGGTTTATGCTACTGCAAGCCATGCCAATAGCTCTTTGATAGAGTCAATAGTTTTGTAGCTGACAGTTCCAGAGCCAATGACATTCGAAATATATATGGGATAGTGGAAATTGATGATGAAGAGAGGGCCAGTGAATTTGATTTCGTCATCGTCTGATCATCAGTTTTTGTGTCTCTTGTTGGATATCAATGCGAAGTTACGGTGGCGAAGAAGATATTTCCGAGGAAGGGGAGTTAAAATGTCGCGTAGGCTTGGGCGTTTGCATTTGTTATTGTAACACCAACCTCGTACAACGAAATGGGCTTACAAGGTGAGTGCCATATTGTCGGATGATCGAGCCAGTAACCCGTTTGTCGTACCGTACGTAGTGAGACGTGGCGATGATCCGATGGTAGCGAATATCCATTGACGACCCTGAATGCATTGCACCACCATGCATACCCAATATTTGCTCGTAACGCCTCGTCGGGACCGTTTCGGCTGGAGACTAAACACCAAGGCTCAACACTCGAAGACCTTGGATCAAATAGAAAACATCAAGACGATACTAGCAATGAGTTAAGCGAGGGGGAGAAATAATTCTCAGCTAGACTTCAGAGCTTCAACTCAAGGTCCAAAACTTTGTGATCATGCCCCTGTAACTTGAACCACCGACATCCGGTGCTGCTTTACCCCGCAACATGGCTTCGATATCTCGCTTGAGTGAGACCATACTTTTACTAATTATAACTGTGGTACCATCGCATCTTGCATATGGTGAAAGCCTAGACGATGAGGAGGTCGGTCGACTAACCCCGGAAATGCATGTGTCCAGAGCTGAAATGTACACCGAGAGCCCTCGGGCCCACGGCAGTGAAATAATCCCTGTAACTGAAGTCCTAAAGCCTCATTTTGTGAGTTAACCACCGCTTGAATACGGAGGTCTGGATGAGGCCATATCCAGTTTACGTTGATTGAGGCCCAGAATAGAGAGTATACCCTCGGCCTGAGCTCTTGAGAGAGACAGGGCCGGAGCTTCCCGGCCGGGAGTCGGCCCATCCGCCTAACACCTCCCATTCGGAAAAATATGGATACCTATTATGGCCTGCACATGTCAATTGTTTCCCCTCTTCAGCTTTCAGGTGAGGCTGGTCTAAAATCTCACTATGATCGGATAGTTGAGGCGAATGTGCTTTGAAAAGTCTACTACGCGCGATGGTACCCAATGTGACAGGACTAAAGCGAAGATCTCGTTTAATTTATATAAAGGGTGTGATTCAGTAAACGGGGTGGTTTGATGCATGTGATTGTCACTGTCAGTAAGAGCATCGGAGAATGTCGGTTGAATGTTGGCTTGTGAAATGTGGTGCAGGCTTTGAGCTTCACCATGATGTAGAGGAGATCTGGAACAAGGTCAGTAAGAAGACAAGAGCCATGGCTCACAACTGTGGATGGATAATGCAAATTCAACAATGGTGCTGGTGCAGATATCGAAACGTTCTGGGCGTAGTATGTATCTACTTGTACAGCTTTGGGGGGGGGGGGGGGGAGGTCTTAATCTTGAGTCATATCTTATCTCTGTCGGCTACCCTAGATACGACCAACGAGTCCTTATCGCAGAGCCGCGTTATGTCCTTTTCAACAATTAAACAACATGCCGTGAGAGATGGTATTGCATTTTCGGTTTCCTATGTGTAAGCATTTATTTAAACTTATAAAATCATTACTTTTTAATTGCCACCTTGTTATTTTATATAATGTTAGGTAAAATCCTGGTAGTATTAACAGCACTGAAGTAGCTTGCTGAAGTAATTACATTTCAGATAAAAATGTAATCTGATTTATTTTTCGAGTTAACTTAATCTAAAAGGCACAAGTCCAGACGGACTTGTATATAATGCCCTTCTCTCAAATTAATTTAGCTTAACAACCGTATATTCTGTCCAGACATTGCCCTTAGTGGCCCTACTATATGGACAAACCTTCATAGCCTTGTCAACAATAGACTCCAACTGCTCCTGCTCCAGCCCCCTAACCATAATCTTCATATCCACACGAAGCTGCATATCAAGCTCCTTCATGTCACCGACAAGATGCACCGTCGACTCAACAATACTGTCCTCGGGCGCAGTGGGCATGGTGATGCCGTCCTTGGCGGCCACGGCGTTCATGGCGGACTGGAAGCAGGCGCCGTAGCCAGCGGCGAACAGCTCCTCCGGGTTAGTCTTGCCTGCGTCGCCGGGGCCGCCGAGGGCCTTGGACATGGTGAGGTCGACGTTGAGGGACTCTGCTTCGACGTGGCCCTTGCGGGCGCCGACGACTTTGGCGTGGGCGGAGTAGAGGATGGGCAGATCTTTGTTCTGCTGAGGCGTTGATGAGATGCTTTCGAAGCGGCGGGCCATGATTGGGGATCTGAGGAGGGTTGATGGGTTGGGGCGCAGGGCTGCGCGGCGGAGGGATTGGGAGATGCGAAGAGACATGACGATGGATTTGGATGGTTTCAGTTATTTGTGAGTTGTTTGAATTATGAAAAGTTCATTGTGTGGTGTTGACTCTGGTTTTATGACGTTAAAAGTCATGAGCATTTGAGTCCAGTCAACCACGTCACCATGAGCCCTTGAGTCGTGTCTCCGTAGCAACTGGCTACGTCATTGATCTGGGCCGTAGTAATGTAAGTCAATAAGCCATTATGAATTTATGAAATGAAAACTATATAACTACAATACTATAACGATGCTTGAAAAGATAAAAAGAAGCAAGGATAGAGACAAGATATGCCCCTGTCAGACAAGGTCAGCACATGTGAGAAGGCTGCTACAGTATATCTCAACACGATTGGCAGCCAGATCTAGTCGCATTTGATTGGTCATCCAACTCAGAATTGTGGACTACGTATCCAAACGCGCCTCCACCAAGGAAAGGCTCGCGACAAAAAATGATACGTTATCTTGATCAAGTCCGAAAGCCGAGTTGTTGACTAAATCGGTTCTACCCAGTTACAGAGTCGGAGTTACAAGACAATCGCCTTTTCTTCTAGAACAATCAGAGAATTATTAGATTTAATGCGTCTGTTGGTGGTCGTCGCGTCGCGGAGGCGTCGATTGCAAACTCAGCCACAAAAAAGAACAATGTCTAGTGCCGTGACCTCAAGAGGAACAATATCTAGCGTCGCGACGTGAAGCAAACAAATGCTGACTTCACATGAAAATTGAAGAATTAATTGACGTATAACAGACCTGTAACCCAGTACCGTAGTGGCCTGCGTAAAGTTCATTGAGTCATTCAGTTCAATAATTCCATGCGATGGCAAGCAATTTCAATATGAGTGCCAAACTGCCTTTTCAGCTTTCAACAGGCGCGATGTTCAAGCACCCTCAATTCCCGAGTCTTATTGCTGCTGGAGTCGTGGCCTTCACCTTCATCCTCCTGGTCGCTCTGAAATTCCGGAGCTCGAGCGCAACACCTAAGGTCAAGATTCTGCTTCAAGATGAGATCAACAGTGCGAGGCAGCGCGCATTGGAGTATTGTTTCAATCCTCGGGCGGTCATGGCAAAAGGATACGCAAAGGTATGAGAACAACTGTCGCAGATAAGGCCAAATACTAACAACTTAGTTTAAAAATGAGGTCTTTGGTCTTGATACCCAGGATGGTAAGACGCGCAACTGATACCTACCAACTTAGTTGACATGAGAAATGAAAAGGAGTAAAGCTCGTCATTCCGCCAAGCTTCCTCGATGAACTAAAAAGTCATCCCGCCCTCAGTTTCAAAGTCTCAATTGACAATGTCCGCCTCCACCTTGCCCAGCACTCTTCCGATATTGACTGACTCTTCCAGGACATGCAAATCGAGTATACGCATTTCGGCGGTCCAGCGGAATATGTAATTCACGCTATCAAGGCTAATTTGACCGGGTCGCTTTGTGAGTATCGTCTCTGCTCGCAGCTTCGTATCCAGGCTTGGGCTAATGACGCCAGCCGCCTTCACACCACTGCTGCATCGAATGGTCCAAAAGAATATGCCAGATATTCTGGGAAGATACAAAGGTCGGTCTCCATCATAAAATCACATTGAATCTTACTGACTAGCGCCAAGACTGGACTCCAGTCAAAGTACACGACAGAGTCCTCCGCCTCATCGCCACCAACAACGCCCGCGTCTTTCAAGGCACAGCCGCCAGCCTTGACGAGGAATGGCTCGAAGCGTCCACCGGCTACGTCCTAGCCTGCTTCGACTGCATCCGCGCTCTTAAACAGTGGCACCCATGGCTCCGGCCCCTCGTCTACAGATTTATCCCCGAACGCGCAGCCATCAAAGACCAGTGGACCAAGGGCCGCAAACGAGTCATGACTTCTATGCGTGAGAGGCAAGAAAAGGGGGGTAACCTGGAGGACCCACCTACTATGCTGGATCATTTGAGTAATGGGAGGAATGAACATATTGCCGATGATGTTGAGCTGCAGTTGCTGCATCAGATGACCTTGATTGCTGTTGGGACTGTTACGACATTTTCGTCGACGACGCAGGCTATTTATGATCTTGTGGCGCATCCGGAGTATATACCTATTCTTCGGGAGGAGGTTGAGTCTGTGCCTAGGGATCCGAATGGTAACTTCTCCAAAGACTCAACGGTGGCTATGGATAAGCTTGACAGCTTTCTCAAAGAGAGCCAACGCTTCAACTCACCTGATCTCAGTATGTCCAATCTCAAGAACTACAAGCTTCGCGAGTCGCTAACAGGCCATAGCAACCTTCCAACGCGCAGCTATCGCAGACATGAAACTCCCAGACGGCACATTCGTCCCCAAAGGCACCAAACTAGAAATCAACACTTGCTCAATTCACAAGGACCACAAGCTGTACGAGAATCCTGAGCAGTTCGATGGTCTTCGCTTTCATAAATGGCGAAAAGCTCCTGGTAAGGACAAAAGGTACATGTACTCCAGCAGTGGAACAGATGATCTGTCTTGGGGCTTTGGGCGACACGCGTGCCCGGGGAGATATCTGAGTGCTATCAATATCAAGCTCATCATGGCGGAGCTGTTGATGAATTATGATATCAAGCTGCCCGATGGAGTCAGTCGACCTAAGAATATTGAGTTTGAAGTGCTGGTAAGTCTGAACGCTTATGCTAATGCCTAGATCTTATGCTGACTTTTGATAGTGCTCCCCGGAACCGGACTTTGAGATCCTTCTTAAGGACAGGGATCATTAGATGACACGGAGTATGTCTAGTCTGTATTGTGGAAACAAACGAGAGCCAGAGGAATTCGATAGATTAGATCCGTAATGGCCTCAGTAATTACATTGGTTGTTCAAATTATGGTGGCTCAGATAACAATGCCAAGTTCAGGCACTAGGGCCATTAGACGTTGAGCCGTACTGATGCCTGGTGACAATGCCAAGCCGTAACAAACAGCGTCGTGCGGGTGATCGCCCAGCAGCTCGGAAAATTCCACTTCTTTGATACGGAGTCAGCCTTCGCATCTTCCATGCATGGGCTTGGTCAAACACCCAAACCCCTTAGGAAAAGGCAGCTTGGGCATAAATGAAGCGGTATAAATTTGTTTATACAGCGATTCTTTTTATAGGCACTATCAGAAGCCCTAATCAATATCGTCCAGTAATATTGGCATTTTTATCTATCTCTGTCGGCTAATCTCTTTGCTTCTCAGCCTTTCTATCATGTTGTTTGTTCACATGCTCAACATCCAGATCCTTTCCAACAGCAAGTAAATCCCTTCTGATGATGGCGCGAATATGGAAAGCCGCACAGATAAACCATACGATAACCAGTACAATCGTCAAAGCAGATCCAAAAATCTTGATTCCCCTCGATGAAAGAGTGTTTCCAACATTGATAGTCGCAAGAGCGAGACCAACGTTGGGGAAGACAAGTGCCCACCAGGACAGACTAAACTCCATTCTTCGAACGGTTCGGAGGACTGATATCGCGGACAGGGCGGAAAACCAGATCGCCATGAGCCAGATGAAGAGTCCTGCTGCGACTGACATTCCAGACCAGAGTTCGCCGGCGGGAATGCTCGGGGTGCTGAGGAAGTCGTCGGGAAGAGTGGACTTGGCCTGTGTTCCAAGTGCAATGAGGCCACCGCACGTAAAGGCTTTAACAGTTAGCACGAAGATAAGAATAAGTGGTAGGGGTCGAGTTACCTGTTGGTCCAACAGCGATATACATGCCAGGCCTCTTGGAAGCATCCGGCAACTTATGCTGAATCAGCCTCGACAGATAAACAGCATAGATGAACAGCGCAAGCATCCACCCAAGTCCCTGGCCCATCAAACCCGCAACAATAATCTGCACAGCACTCCACTGCGGTTGACTCCCCGCCACCTTCGCCGCCAACATCCCCGTCACCAAAAACGGATACGCAGGCAATATCCACCCGGGCAACGCCTCCGAAATATCAAGCCTCTCCGTCTCAAAGATAATATGATACTGCGTCACCGCCACAACCATCTCACAAGCATAATAAATCCAGAAAACCACCCGCATAGCCGTAGTGAACCACGGTCCCGTCTCTGGACCGCCGTACGATTGCGCGCCCGTTAGGATTAATGCAATAGACACCCAGAAAGCGCCAAAGAAAAATGATTCAGACGGATGGTGCAGACTCGTTGAGAAGGCGCGGGGTTTCATGGTAAAGCGTGCAATGATGAGGGCTGTGAAGGTTAGGAAGAGGATGATGTTGAGGATGAAGAAGATTTTGCCGATGGTTTTTAAGCCGGTGAATGTGTAGGGTTGTTCGTTGAGGAGATTGGCTAAACCGCCTGTTGACATTGTGCAGGGGAACCAACTCCATGTTATCCTGACGACGCGGTCTTTTAGTCGTAGAGGTCGAGGTGCGTTCTTGGGAAAGGCTTTGTCGCGTGCTGAAGACCCAGATTCGAGGTCTACGGGATGGCCATTCATGTTGCGTGCATAGCCGTCCCCTGCACCGTACTGGGGGTTAGTTGGCTGCGGCATTTTGATCGCGAGAGTTTTCGTATAGGGAGTGTACTCGCGCGATCAGATCTCGGACAGTTTCTTTATGTATATTAATCCAAGACATTATCTTCCTTGATTTTTTAATTCTTGGCTTCGTGACGAAAGCCAAGATGTCGTCACTTGGACGGCTAGACCCAGTCTAATTGATCGGAGTTTTGGACTAAAACTCCACTAGAACTCCACTAAAGATTAAATTATTTGGCGAGCCAAGGCTAAGAACCGGCAATCGGCACGATGCGTTACAAATGCCGACGAGTCATGGATTTGCTGTTCTGACTCCTATGCATTTGTTTTCTAACTGATTACTTTATAATAGCCTGATGTTACTGCCTTGATTAAGTTGGAAACCTTCCAAGTCGACGCTCTTTAGTGTATTGGTAGCATATATTCCAGGTACGCATTCTATCAGCGATAACAAAATACGCATAAGTCACTTTCTAATCTTATATCTAAAGAAATACAATTGCCTTTTCCACAAGAACCAGAGACTCAATATCCTCGTCTGTTGCTTCTACCAAAGCCTTATTGTAGTTTGCTTTGAAACCTGACTCCTCCTCAACTCCAGTCTCGTTGCCTGCCTCTGGAATAGTAAAAAGAGCGGGTAATAGGCAGATCTTAACCTCCTGACCCAAAAGTGCAGTGTCTCCAGCTTGGGATTTAACGACGTCCATTTTCCCCGCGTCGAATAGTGTACCGGGCCTGAAGAAGAGATATTTAAGCCGTTTTACAGACAGCATAAGCTCAATCTTGAGTTTCAACGCATGATGCAAAGTACTTCTCATGTCGCTAATAGTCTCCGTCTCTAGTTCGTTATGAGGTGAGCGTTGGGTTATGTCCCGACTTTCCAAGGGCAAAAAGCAGCTTAGATTTTGCAGCATCAAGCTGGAGAGCCTGTTGGACCTTTCTGAAATAATCCCCTTTTTAACATCCTTGTCTGATACGAGTGACTTTATAGAAATAACATCGAGCCGTTGGAGTGCGTTCCGTCCACCTGGTCTTGTTAACTCGGTCTCTAGGCAACAGGCAAGGGTGAGTGTGAAGAGAACGGTATGCTTACTTTGAGTTTCGATATGCTTTCTGTACTGGTCTAGGAGTGGCGAGTCAGCAGCCAGGAAGGCTGGAAATACCTCTTCGAGAACGAGTTCGAAGATGCCTGCCGCCAGCAGAGAGACCAAAATGAATCTCTTCGGGATCTGTTCTGACTCACAGTGGCCGAGAAGAGAGCCTAGATCGTGTCCGCCTATGCGTCTAGCCCAATTGTTTGCCAGGTAAGCAAAGCCCGTTCGCTGTTCAGGGAGGGTGTCGTCCAAACTCAGATGACAAATCATTGAAGACGTGTCTCGGATGTTTGAGTGCATATTTCCATACTCTGCCCGGAGAGAGGTATTGAGAAATCCAAGCCTGTCTGCTTCCAGTTCCCTGTAGTTCTTCGTAAGAAGTTGTTCTCGGTCAAGCTTATTTTTCAAACTAGATATAACCTCTCGAAGCCGAGTTTCCTCCTCATGATTACCCTGGGCTGAGCTAGCAAGGCTAATGCAATGTTCCAAGTCGTCGTTTCTTCTTTTGAGCTCAGATATTCGGTTTTCCAGAGTCACAGAATAGCTCTTTTGTTTGAGGAGATCTGCCTCTGACTGGCTTAACCTAACATCCATGGAGGAGTTAGACCGTTCTTGCGAGATAACAGTCATAGTATCCTCCTGGGAGTCGGGGATAGCAGGGGCGAGCTGAAGTTCAATATCTAAGAGTTCCGGCGAGGCAATTGTGCTTGACGTACCCCAAGGATGTCCATCAGATTCTGTCGACTCGAGGTCCATTCGTTCGATCGGAAACTACCCCGAGAACTACAACTACCACTATAATGATCCAATGGGTATGGAGGTCCCCACCGAGGTGATATATCCCTTGGACCGACACTTTCGCGACCACTTTAATCTTGATAATCCCGAGGAAGATTTGGAGAACGGTGATAGCGTTGAGGTGCCTGTACCTGATGAAGACGGCGATATCTCCATGCTCTCGGACGTGTCAGAGGAATTTCGATGGGGTTACCGAGTACATGAAGTCTGGAATCGTCCATCTACACACTCTAACACTACCAACCAGCCTTTGTCTCGATTTAAGCTCTTGCTTGACAACAGTGAGATGACCGAGTCGGTAAGGCGAGATGTAAGACAGACTATCAATACACTCAAAAGAAAGAATGTAATCCAAGGGCCCCTTCACGTCATCGCTGATTTTCTTACCTACCTTTTGGAGCATACTCGGTCCCAGTTGCGTCGTCAGGGCTTCGATGACAGTTACGAGAAAGAAATGATACTTTGCGTTCCTGCTATCTGGACGCAGAAAGCATGCCGAGACATGCAGGCATGCCTAGCAGTTGCTATGAAACGAGCCAACTTCACAAGGGCCGATTTGCAGAACAAGAGCATTGACAACCTCTTCATCGTGTCGGAGCCGGAGGCAGCGGCTGCACACATGCTTTCCACTTCGGCTGAAATAAAAGTACAAACTTCTCCCTTGACACTTATCACGATACACTTCTAATATCATTCACTAGGCTGGCGATTGCTTTGTTCTGCTAGATGCAGGTATGACTTGACCCCAATTGCTCCTTTCCATCTAACAACATGACTAAGGTGGCGGAACTGTCGATGCGAACACATATCGAGTCAGCAGGGAGGAGCCATTGAGGCTAGAGACCGAGATAGTGGCTCCTGGAGGTATGTTGTACGATAGCAATGGGCGGCATCTGTAGCTAATTGTTGCGTGAAAAGGTGGTCTGCATGGATCTAGTTATCTGAATGAAGGTTTTCGGGACTATCTTGAAGATCTCCTAGCTGAGGAAACGTACCTCAACGATGGCATCGAGACCATTCATGGAATCATTGAGAGAATAACATTTGAAGAATTCGAAAAGAGGATCAAGCGGGGCTTTGACTATAACCAGCAAACGTCGAGGAAGGAGATTTATATAAGAGGGCTTCGTGATAACCCTGCCAAGGGTTTCAGAAATGAATGCATTTACATTCCGAGGTAGGTCCAGTTCAAAAACCCAACGAAGAACTAATTTCTCAACCTGATGGCGATAGACTCAAGATTCGAGACATCTTTTTCAAACATCTACATCCTATAGTTGAGATTGTGAAGAGCCAACTCGACGAAGCAAGGGGCAAAGGATACACCGTTGGGGTAAGTTACTTTTGGTCAAACAGGCCGTTCACTCTGACATAAGATATTGCAGAAAGTTGTTCTCATTGGAGGATTTGGAACCTCAATCTCACTCAGCCAGATGTTACAAGAGTTCTTGGAGGAATACAGTCGGGAACATAGTTGCCGCGTCACGTTGATGGAACCTCAGCAAGGGTTTGTTTTCTAAACGCAAGTTCTTTAACGCCACTTACTAATCTCTGATGTACAGAACTTCTATCATCAATGCGGTAGCATCAGGAGCTGTCCTCAGAGCTCTGAACAAGGCGAACGGGCCGGAGAGAATAGCTCGTTCAAGTTATGGCATATTGCGAACTGAGCCTTTCGGACAGTACCATGAGCACGCAGGTCTGAAGCCGTCTTATGACCGTCATGATGGGATGCCATACATTAAGCAAACGATCGATTGGGTTTTGAAGCTAGTAAGTATTTATCTAGAGAATGTTCATACGCTAGAGAACTGACTTAAACACAGGGAGAAAGAGTTCCATCAGTATGGCAGTGTGAGCCCTTCACCTGCAGTCATACATTCGACGTCTGGCCTGTCCGTCCCTTTATCTGCAAAGAGATACTCTACGTGTCAGACCGTGCGACAAGATCGCACTATAGGAGAACTCATCCCAATAACCAAGGTCAGCTTGAGGATCCGGATGGAAGACATATCTAACTGTATCTTCAAAGGTGCCGAGTATGTTGGCGAGATTGAGGTAGACTTCTCTTCTCTTCGAGATCAGTTAGCCCCAATTGAGCCTGTTGTTAATAGGAATCAACAAAAGATTGGGAAAAGACATTATAGGATCGACTTTACGATGGCCATTAAGGTTGTGGATCGCGACTTGGAATGTAAGTTCTGACAGATGAGAATCTGTTTCCCTGGCATTTTGAGCATATATGTTCTCAGCTGACACGTTGTAGGTTTTGCGATCCACGACCAGAAGGTAGTTAAAAAATGTCGCATAAATATCGCATCTGGTTTCAGACCTGGAGTTAAATAGGCATAGGTAGTTAGGAACATGTTTCCACGGAGGCTGATGGATTTTAAGGAATGGCGAGTGATCGGCGTCGAGTACCGGTTTCTTGTGCGATGACGGATAAGGGAACAAGATCAGGATAACAGAATACCTCCCCGCTTAGAGAACCATTTTTTCATAAGCGGGTAAGTCTACAAAGCAACATTGACGTCCGAAATGCAATTGTCTTAGTGTATAGTAGATGGAGTCCTGGAACGAGCCGAGGTTTTAGAAGATCAGAGAGGACCCCAGGACGTAGCTCAAGGATCTACGTCTTGTCAATGGAGCCTGACCTGCCTGCGGGCGTGGCAGTTTCAAATGACTATAAAGATGCAGGTAGCTAGGTAGAGTGGTTATTATTGCGGAGATATCTTTAGATATAAAGATCTAAGGCTCTGCTTTTGCTTCGAATGGAGATGCATACAAACAGAAAGGTTTGCCAGAAAATATAATTGGATTATTAACATCGCTTCCCTTACAAACAGTGGTTGACCTAAGCTCCATTATTTATAGCCAATGACGGCATATAAATACTCTACATACGGGAATCTCATTATCATTACCGCAGCGGCGCAGTTCAACTCCGAATCCCAGCTCGAAGAAATCCCCGGATTACATAAACGCTTCGCTCGCTGTATATCCATTTCTATCATTGCGTCATCAATCAAATCTTCATTTATTTTCATGGTCGTCAGAAAGGTCTCCAGGTCTGCAAAAATCAGTTATCTGTCTTGCACCATCGCTTTCTCACTAAATGGCGTACCTCCGTGGAACCCGAAAATCAGGAATACCCATGAGCACTATCCGATCTCAATAACGCTATCCCCGTCGCCATCATGAGCGCAAAAACCACACAAACAGCGACGATGATTATCACCGCATATTTCGTCCAGTCGTCCCCCTCGAGATGTCGCATGTCTTTGGTCCATTCTGGCATGTCAATCGATCCACCCTGGACCAACCACGCGATGGCGAAAATGGCGATGACGATGACGGTGAAGATGAGTTGTCTGGCGTTACGAACAGCCTCTAAGAACGGCTGAATTCTGGATTTTGTCTTCGCCATGGCTGTTATACTAGGTTTGTTGGAAGTGGGAAAAAAGACGTTAAGGCTAGATGAAAGGTGGAAAAGTGGCATCATTGACAGGCTGGATTAGAGTGAGGCGTCTCCCCGCATATTATAGGTACTTTATTAGATCACAAGACATTCAGCTGATGGACTGCTATTCGCGCATTGGATTGTTTATGGCGAATCATGTTGGGTTTCGGATGCCTCGGAGCATTGTTCAGCCACCTCTTAACGTATGTTTGACCCCACCTCCTCACTCAGAAACAAGGCAGTCATTCAATCTTGCTGACATGGATTCGGGTGCCTGAACAAAGACGTTAGCCTTGTCAGATATCTTATTCCCCGAGAGTCCGTTAGTGCGTCGCACGCGATCTGCATGTCAATCAGATCGGCATATCCTCGCGTATCAGTCTCTGGCCCCAAGACTCATCTTGTATTCACCAAGCGAGATGTGAGCTGGATGCTTTCGCCTCTCTGCATCAGCATATGTTCAATTTCACTCTTAATTAGCTTGTAGTTCTCCGCCGAATTCCTGCAACACCTCGTCGGCATTTCATCCTGCAAGGGAAGGATGACTCAAAGCTGGGACCGCCAATTGCAGCACTGGTCTTGGCATCAGCTAGTCTAGGTAGATGTAATGTCAGATCTGTGAAGTGATTGACCTTCTTCACTTAATTCCAACAAAAGTTCATCATCAAGATTGTCCACTCCATTCAGAAACGGTGACCTATAGAGTGACCCCGAGAGCCCTGAGCCAAGGTTCTGCATCGCCACTAGAGTCCAAAATGGCCTCGACAGCGGTTATCCCAACAAGTTACGGACGAGGAGCAAATTCATGGAGCATGATTTGCAACGAAATATGCCCTCAAACACTTGATTACTATCTCCGACATTTTCATGCTATCTTGCTGTTAATTTGAGCGCTCTGCACTGACAAACAGGTCCAGTTTCTCATTCAAGGACCTTGTTCTTCGGCTTGGCCAATCGGAGACATTTTATCACTTTAAAGCACTTCGATTTCATTCAGCTTCTTGACAAGACGTTGAATTAAGCGATTGATCATTTTACTCCGGAGTTAATGACGCTAGAAGTCCCTGATCATTTATAAACTAAGCGAGAGCTACCTAGACCAGGTTAATCAGAGGCTTGACTAGTCGAAGCTAGCCAGAACAAGATTGTTTCTCCAGAACGGTCTCGATCCTTGATTAACATGCAAGCCATGCACTTCATGAGTTGAGGTGATTGGGTACCAGTGAGGAGCGCCATGGCGAGATCAGATCCGCTTAGAATGCCCTAGCCGTATGTATTACTAAAAGACCCTGCATGAACAGATGGGCTGCTTCATCCTTCTTCGGAATTCAACTCTCCTCTCAGACCTTTCGCCTTATGTGGAGCTTGCGCAACCAGCCATGGTCGAGCTACGATGAAATGAAGACTAGGGATGCTGTTGTTCGTTTATGGACCCATCACATCGCAGCCCGCTTGACCAAAATGAAACGACTAAAAACAACACATCCACAATTAGCCTGGTGTACCCCGCGTTCTAGACTGGCTTCCCCATAAACCGCGGGACAACGGTACCAAGATGCCTCGGCATGTTGACCGCTAGCTCAAAGTGCTACAAGTATAAAGTGGCAGCCAAGGAAGTAGCTGATCAAGACGATCTCGACAAAGATCCCAAACCCTTTCGCAACTTGGACGCCATTGCACAGCAAAGATGACAGAGATACATGGCACCTGTGACCCCAAGTTCGAGGGGGTTCGCGCCCTTCTTGAGAAGTACATCGAGTCAGGCGAAGAAATTGGTGCTTCAATTACCATTGACATTGACGGTCAGGAAGTGGTGGATATCTGGGGCGGGTACGCAGACGAGAAGCGAACCAAGCCTTGGGAAGAGAACACTATTGTCAATGTTTTCTCCTGCACAAAGACAATCACCAGTCTTGCAGTTCTGATCCTGGTCGACAGAGGACTGATTGATGTCAATCAACGCGTCTCACACTACTGGCCCGAATTTGAGCAAAACGGCAAACAAGATGTCCTGGTCAGGCATTTGCTGAGTCATACGTCTGGTGTCTCAGGCTGGGAAGAACCGCTGTCGACTGAGGACATGTATGATGTTGAGAAGACGACTGCGATGTTGGCGCGGCAAGCTCCATGGTGGACGCCTGGCACGGCTTCTGGGTATCACGCTTTGTGCTCGGGGCATCTGCTTGGAGAACTCATCAAGCGCGTTTCTGGGAAATCGCTGCGAGAGTTTGTAGATACTGAGATTGCAGGTGTTTTGGATGCAGACTTTCAGATTGGCGCGGCGGAGCAAACCTGGGATCGCATTTCGCCAATCATTCCTCCGGACTTTACAGGAATCACACCAGAGTTTGAAGAAGGATCTGTCCAGGCCAAAACACTTCTCAACCCGCCCCTTGACCCCAAATCTGTGAACACCGGGCCTTGGAGACAAGCTGAACTAGGCGCTGTGAACGGCCATGCCAACTCCCGGTCACTGGCCCGTATACTCTCCGCAATCACCTTAGGAGGCTCAACCCGAGGCAAGAAGCTTCTGTCAGAGGAGACAATCAAGTTGATCTTTCAAGAGCAGTTTGCTGGAAAGGACTTGGTCCTTGGACTGCCATTCAAACTTGGCATTGGATATGGACTCACGCCTTCTCCGGCCCTTCCCTGGATCCCGGAGGGTAATGTCTGTTTCTGGGGCGGGTGGGGAGGCTCGACTATTATTATGGATCTTGACAAGCGCATGACGATTGCGTATGCCATGAATAAGATGGGTGGTGGACTTGTTAGTAGTGATCGAGCTGAGGCTTATGGAAGGGCCATTTATGAGGCTTTTGAGAAGTAATTTATATGATTTATGTTCCAATATCAGTAAAACATGTACTGAGCAGTAGATTCGAAAAGAGCCTGTCTTCACGTGGCCTTCCCCTCTTGGACGAATTCTTATTGTATTCTGTTTCATCTGCGTCTATATCGAACCCCAATCGCCATCCGACCTAGTATTCGAGGCGCATTCCGACCAAGGCTAGTCCTACAATCTTCTGAACTGTCGATACATATTTGTAACTAAATTTAGCGCTTTTATCGTTGCTGTACCAGGGTTTCTATCAATAACATCATGCCACGTCAACAGGACATCTTGAAGCCTGGAGGGCTACTGATTACGGCTGCCTAGCTTCATTTTCCCAGTAAGAAGTTCAGGACTACCTTTGAGAGTAAGGGGCTTAGTGGGAGATGTTGAGAAGAAAGCTTGACGTTGTGAAATGTCTGCAACTGTTGATTCTGATAATGCGTAGTTTAGGTGTTCTCCTGATGGACAATTGCTGTTAGATCAAAGTAGAATGCAGTGGGGGGTACCAACTGATATCGACCACGAAATCAATATTGATATCTCAAACGACGGTAAGACGTGATGGTAGCCCCCATTGGTAGGTTTAGTTGATGGATTCTTCCAACTGCCATATCAAGAAGACGGCATAGTAAAAAAGAACATGTATAATACCACCGCAACCTTTTCTTACATAAGATTATTTGAGAGAGAAATAGCCTTGCAGGCGTTGGTGACAGTGACACGATATTGCAAATAGCGGCAGATATGGAGTTAAATAGAAATATTTATTGTCCGAAGCCGAAGCCAAAACGCGAGACCCGTAAATTGATCAGCACGGAATTTGGACAAACTGCGCTGAGATATGATTGGCCGATCAACTGCTGAAGTCACATACGCCCCACAGCAAGCAACTTTTATCGAGACTAAGATCTGACTTGATGACGAGCAGTGCCGCGAGCCTGCATTAGTTAGGATTGACTTACAAATCAGTAAGGTATTGGAAAATTGACAGTAGAAACAGTAAGTCGAAGTTGTATATAAGTACTGGCTGAAGCCTTCCTGATAGTAATGCCATCTCATCGCAATTCTCACAAGCTTCCATTATTCAGCCGAAGGCTGACTCTACATTAATTCATAAGTTTTCCCGAATAATGAGGGTTTGGTTCAGCCGAAGGCTGACTCTACATTAATTCATAAGTTTTCCCGAATAATGAGGGTTTGGTGCAGACAGGGATAAATAAGTTTCTCGGAATCTGATTGGTCCAGATTTTGTATGGCCAGCCGCGAA